GTATCGTTATAACGCGACGTGCCATGCGGGTGCGTAATACAACGCGCGCTGCCCGGGATAACTGCCGGGCGAGTACTGGCTGGCCGTTTCACGCGTGCGCGCGTGCCGGATAATGGTCGGAATGATCGGAATCGCCGATTTTTATTCCGTCGGCCCCTGAACGGTTACGGTACCGCACGTAACTACGTACAAACTACGGCGGCCAGAAAAGCGACGACCGACGACCGGATAAAACGACGGACGTCGGACGACGCGAACGAAATAATAAGGCGCCGGTTCGCGGCGACACTCTCGGACCTGTAATATTATAATTCGGCGGGTCCCGACCCGCGGGCCGCGGCCAATGTGAGTACTGGGCCGCGGACGCTGGTCGAGAACATAAGCCAACGGTCGGAAAAATTATAAAAAAAAAAAAAAAATCTACATTATTATAATATAAACGTCTATATTTCGATCGAGACCTAGTAAATATCCCCACGATTATCGCCGTCGCAAAATTGTATTGATCGTCGTTTTCTTATACAGTATATTCTAGAATATTTTTGTCATTTTTATCGCATCTTATCATGCTGGGCGTGGAGTATGATGGGCCCTTTGCGATGTACTCAATCCCGATATTGATTCTCTCGTGAAAGAAAAACAATGTCAGATAAAATAATGGTAAGACAATGGGTACAGACGGGTACAGTCACTGATGCAGGTGGGAAGTTGGGAAGGTAGGATATAGACGGGAATTTAATTTATATCTGTAAGCGACGATAAAACCATTGCTAACGAAAAACGATTCTGATCGGAGTTCAGTTGATAGTGATGCTTTGTCAACAATATATATGCCATATGATGGTAAAATTATAAAATGGGCTTTATACATTTTTTTTTTTTAGTAAAATTTGTTTAATTTTGTACCGATATTCTCAATTTTCTCAACGTTTTCCCGGTTTTTCAAATTTGATGAGAAAACTCTTGAAAAAATCGAAAACCGATTTCCTTTCAGAAAAGGTGCTACACGTAGAAATCCAAGCGAGTCTTTTGGTAGAAAAAATACGCACAGATAAAAAAAAAAATTAAAAAATAAACATCTTTGTAAAATCATAAGCTTCTTCGCTCCACTCAGAATCTAAAATCACATTGATTTTAGTTTAATCACGCGTTTATAAATCAAAAACAATAATAAACTTCTTTTTTTATAAAAATTATATTTGTAATCTTCTTGTATACGGTATGTTTTACTAATTAATCACGTATGCGCGATATGCAAATTATAGGTTTTTATCTGTATATTAGTTTAGTGCGCCTTAAAGTTTTATTTTCAAAATTGGTGGCCGGCAAACAAAAAAGGTTGAGAACCGCTGTTACAATAGTTGACTGCGTAATATTGAGCGACCGGTTCGCGATCGATTCGCGTCTTCTGTACGATTGTTATATTGGATTTATCCAAATTGGTTTACGATAAAAAAAAAAAAAAAAAGAGGTATTTTATGAAGGTGAACCGAATCGGGGTTCCCGTTTAAATTTGTGATCTATCCACTAAAGGTAGTGGTCGAATAGGTTCCCACTGTTCGCAGTAAAATATAATCAAATACGCACATTCCCTTTGAGATTTTATACTAGAAACATTTCTGTAGTTTATATTCGGTATAAATGTACAATATATTATAGTCACACGGATACTATACGTATATCCAGACGGATTAACGTTATCTTAATCGATTGCGGTATTTTGGCAATAGGCCGATATAGCAAGCATTATTTTATTACTTTGATAACTGCCAAACATCCGCCATAGTATGATAAATGTTAAATAAAAGTTTAAAACTTTAGTTTATTATACCTGCATTTGTTGTGTTTATTTTACGTTATTTTACCGGTTTAATGGGAGAGGACTGTATTATTTTAATTTTTTGTTTTCGCAACGTGTCAAGTAGTTCTGATAAAAATGATACCATTGACTGGCAATTTTAACTGCAGTAATGTTTTCAACTGATGAGTCAATTGTTTACACAGTATAAATACATATTGATGTGTACGATGCGTATAGCACCATTGTCTTATGTACACATAACAGAATTCCACATAGTCATAATACGAGTATAATAGATAGATCGTGCACTTTACACTCAAGTATCGTGAGTAACTCACTACTTTTGACATTGGCTACATGTTACTCCAACAAAAATTACCTTTCTGCCTGTATTTAAAACCTGGTGTAAACTCCGACCATTTTACCTGCCAAAAATAGATGGTGTAATCTTGGTATATATTGATATATCTTGGTGTATATTGGTGTATCTTGGTGTATATCGGTTTTACAATGATGTTAATTCGTGATAATTGCAATTAAGTGGGGAAAAACGTACGATTTTACGATTTCATTATTTTAAATAAACACATACGACGTTTTATACCAGAAATAGTTCTCTAATGGAAAAACGACAAGAGACATTTTTTATTGCACTCTGGATAAATATTCGTAGAGATTTACGAATGAAAAATAAAATTTAGTAAACACATTAAGGCATCGTATTAGAAATTCTCGGACATTTCGATAACGTCCACGTTATTTCCGTAAATTGGAAATACAACAATCTCTACCTCTAGTACCTTTCTACCTTTTGTAGTTGATGAATGATTTTTATTTATTTTAATAACTAAAAAGAAAATTGTATTATAATATTTTACTTTTGATATTTTTGTAGTTTATGATTGATTTTTAGTGATTTTAAAATACTTTATTTTACTTTCACAACTCGATGACTATCTTTTGTAGGAGATTACCATCCCCCCCCCTTTTTTTCCAATATCACAATATTACGGCAGTCGGCCCTGTCACAGTGTCAGTCAATAGATAGAGTTAATATTGTACGTTTTATCTGTTTTAATTCAACCGAATAGACGGTATGTGTTTACGGCAAAATACCACGATACCGCGGTATGCCGGTAAAAACCGGTACGTAAACAATAATACCGAATACCGATGACTTTCGATTTCTCAATGCCGCCAGCTCTGTATTGACTTCAGATCGTGTCCGTGTGCCGGTGCTCCGCCGGTGCACCTATATTATATTTTTCGGTAGGTACGACAAATCGGATTGTACATATATTTGTGTTTTGCATAATTAATAAAGGCCACCGTGGGGACGGGGGCAGTATGGCATTGTATTAAACGCAGGAGCTGTGTACACGGGAAGGAGCGCGTGGAAGTACAAGAAAACGTTATTGTTGTCGCGTATATACACGTATAACACAACACACATCGCGGTCCCAAACCAAGTCAACCGCCGCCATCCGTGTCTGTTTGCCGCGACGTCGCCTCGGGCCACGCAAATTTAATCATCTCCTTATAGCAGTACAACACAACGTGCACGTGTAAACACAATTTTCGGCCTTTAAGGCAGCGATTTTCGCAAACATTTGCGCTCACTCGCTCACTCTCCCTCTCTCTCTGTCTTTCTCTCCCTCTCTCCCTCTCCCTCCCCCGCCCACCCTCTCTCTCTCTCTCACTCTGTCTCTCTCATTGTTCCTTTTGTAAATTTACCTACTGTACATATATATACCGTTATTATAACCCGACCGAGCGCCGTCTCCATGTATACATACCGAACCTCGAAGACATTCTGCTCCCCCATAATATTATAAACGATATTATTATAGAGCGTACGCGTATAACATTATTATTATCCGGTATACCTACCCGTCTCGACGAGAACGTTATAATAATAATATAATATAGTATGTTGCACGTATTTATAATACAACGTGTCCCACCGTGTTTGACGGATTTTTCCAGCGCTGTTAGTATTCAATTTTTTCAATCGGTTTGTCTTCGAGTGGGACGTCGATTCTGATCGGAGCGAGGAATGTATCGTATTAGTTTCACAACGGTGTTTATTTAGTTTTTGCTCTTATCAGTCCACAACTTTACCTATTGCTCCGATTTTCAAGTATAGCGTATTTTCTAATAGGAAATCTGATTTGGGTGGTACTTTAAAGGCGTCCATTTTTTTTTTTTTATTTTCCCAGCTATTTTCATAACAAATGGGAAAAACGGGAAAATGTACGAATATTACGGCCTTTTTTTTCTGTGAACAACTTTCCTATACCGTAAATTTTGCTCAGATTTTCAAGTAAAGCACTTTTTCTGAAACGAAATCTGACGGGATGGTACTTTATAGAGGTCATTTTTTGATTTTTCCAGCTGTATTCATAATAAATAGAAAAAAACCTAGACAATTTAGGAGAAAACGTAACTAGGAAAAATGGGTAAAGTGTACAAAATGTATTATGTTTTCAATTTTTTGTTTTTGTTTTGTTTTAATTTAGTTAGAGATTTGAAGTTTGGACAGAAAAATTATATTGGCCTTTTCTAGACGTAGATAAAATGTTCGAAACATTGTAGCCATTTTTGAACTATTTAAGGAAAATTTAATTTTACGTAATTTTGGTTCGGTATAGGTACTATGTTGATACAATTGTTAGACTAAACAAAAATGTTAGAACATTTAACAAGAGGTGAAAAAAAAAATGAAGTTTAATGTAGAATTTTTTTCGTAAGCATTTTAATATCAAAATTTGACGAAAATCGTTTTAGTAAAAAATATTATTAATGACGATATTATACATATAATGCATATACTTGTACAATTATTTTACCATAATATGCCATACATTATATTGTTAACAAATCAACAATATTAACTGAGCTCCGCTCAAATACGTTTTTCGTTAGCAACGGTTAATCGTATACAGTAGATGTGTACACCCACAAAGGTATACATTACATTTCCCCTCTACCTTTCTAACTTCTCACCTACAACAGTGGCCCACCCATCGTGCGATACTTATACAATAGTTGTACAATTATGCAGATACTGATAAGATTAACAGTTAAGGTCCCGGTTAATGTCACTTAAGTGTGAAAAAAAACGTATTATTTAATGTTTACAATAACCTACTGCTATTTAAATATCTCAATTTTATCAGCAAGAAAGCACTTCGATAATATTGTTTATCGTCTACTTACAAAATATTCGTTTAGTTCTTGACGTTTGTTCGAAGTGATTACAATATTTTAGCGACAAATTTGGTACTGCTTAAAAGCCTATAGAAGGTGAGGAAAATTAAATTAGTGATATTTACATTTTCATTTACCTATAATATAATATTTAAATAACTAGCTAAACTTTTTGATAAAAAACTACATGGTTTTTGTAATATATATGAAATTTTGTTTTAGTTTTTTAAAAAAGTAGAATGGCAATCTATATTAGATATTATACCTATAATTATATAAATTCTCTTCATCATCGTCATAATATGGCTTCATAGCTCTAAGAGTTTTCACCACCACTGTTAATGCTCTCCAACTGCCACGGTTCTGGAACATCTTCCCAATTTGTAGTTTCTAATCAAGGTCTTGTCGTTACCATCTATCCATCGTTCTTTGACCCTCTTTTCTTCTGGTTGCCATTCAATAGTTGTTCTCTTTGTTTGTTATCTCCCTTCGTTTTACGTGCCCAAACCACTTTAGTCTCTGTCTCTTCATAGTTCACATAACTGAATACAAATCTGGATTCCAGATTTATACATTCTAGGTTATTATACACTAATTTTAACTAAGTTAAAAGTCATATCCATTTGTCAACTTTTTTGCTTGTGAAACCGCGAATATTGGTTTACCATACTATATATCGCATACATATTACTTAAACTAAAACACGAACACGTTTTAACGGAGCTATATAAATATACATATTAAGGTGGTTCTTATTTGGGTGATGGTAGAATTTCTTTTTGGACCCCCTAACTTTGTTCTAAAAAAATAAAATTATTTCAAGAATTATATGCCACTTTCTTTCTATTAACTGTATGTATAGTGGCATATAATTCTTGAAATAATTTTCTTTTTTTTTTTCATATACAATTCTCGATGATTTCCCCGCAAAAAAAAAATTGTAAGTCAATTTGTTATGCTTGTATAAACAAAATTCAGAGTAAACGAAAAAACCAATGTACTTTAAACGGGAGACTTTACTTCGTTACAGGAGGACGAAAGAATTGTCCTAGGGAGCTCAAATTGAGCTCAAAATGTTTAATTTTTTTTAGAACAATGTTAGGAGGCGTCCAAAAAGAAATTGCACTATAAGAACTACCCACAACATATATATATATATATAATATATAATTATTATTTTAAGAATAACTAAATTAATCTTTAAAGAATCAAATTTCTACCGAATATATCTAACGTAATAAAATCTACCTACGAGAATAATATTCTCGTTAGTATTACCCGTATTTTTTTTCCCCTACAAAACTTTCCTCTATAGTTGTGTAGTTGTGTATGGAGTGACATTGCATGTTATAAATCGCTCGTATTTAATAATTCAACGGCCTTTGACCATGTAGGGAAGGAAAAAAACGCGAGCTTAATAACGGTATACCTTATACTTTACCTGGTTATCTATAGTATACGCCGTCGTCGTCGTCATACCTATATCTACGGCATGAACTTCGACGACTATTAGTCTATATTTCACCGCTACCTATATACAAATATACAAGGTGTTCCACATTGTGTTCCTGATGCTAATACCCTGTAAATTCAATTTTTAAATTTTTTTCAAATGGATATTGTATGACCATAATATTTTTAAGAAAAACCAAATTTGTATTTTTACTCCTTAATCATTAAAAAAAAAAAAATACTTTTTATTTTTACACTTTTCAAAATTTTCAAAATAGCCACTTTAGCACTTTGTTACAGATATTATTCAACAATTCTACAAATTTGAATACATATCGTCATATATAGGTATTATATTATACGTACATATCCGATAAATAGTTATTTTCTTAGTAATAGCTGTTTTCGTTTATAGAGAAGGGGTCATAGGCCGTTATACAAGTGCAGCCAATGCAGTCTGTGCTGCGTTGTTTGTAAGGAAAATGTTATTAAATTAAATACACATACGTGTATAGAAATTAAGTAAATTAATTATGCTGCGCTTGGAGCTAAATCTCGGAGCTGCCTATGGAAGAGGTGTAAATTACTTCTATTCCGTTTTTACTATAGTACCTACTGGACTTGTGATTTGTTATCGCGTAAAGGTACGCTATTTTCACTTATGCAAACGCCCGATCATAGATAACAGAAAGATACACAAACGAGTCCGCTGAAATAGTGGTTTCGTTGCACAGCACGCTCTCTGGTGGCTATGCTTTCTGCTATCTATGGTAAAACTGTACAAGTGCAACACTATGCTGCTATATCACTCGACAAGAAGATCGAGAGGGCAAAATTCAGCGGCCAATCAGAACGCCATTTTGTGAATAGCTGGCATTCTTGATATTTATCTTTGTTCTAATTTAGATTCTAGAAGAACCAATTTTTGTATATGAAATCGAGGGGCTCTGACTCTAAACTCGTAACTGCTAATATTAACCATTGATTTTATAATTGTTCATTCAAAAATCAATGCTAATAACCTATTGAATACAAATGTTTTCATCTGGAAATCAAAACTAATCATCCAAACGCATGTACGGCCCCAATAGGTATCTATTACAAGATGGATATTTTGAACATTATAAAAAATGGTCAGATTTTTTTTCTAGTGGTTAAAGGATGAAAATAAAAATTCTAATTTTCTCTAAATATATATTATACTCACACAAAATCCAATTGAAAAATAAAATAAAATTGAATATTTACAAATATATGGGCATCAGAAAAACACGATGGGACACCCTGTATACGCCAGGTTCCTGTTGTCGGCTAATAACCGTGTGCAATAATAAGGACTTGGATTGTGTGTGTGTGTGGCGTTTTCGCCAATGCCATGTAGGTACCTACCTCTTATATTATAGTCTGTCCATCACGCACAGCATACGTATTTTTTATTTCCAATAGGAACTGCATTATTATTATTATTATTACTATTATTATGGGGAATGACACCAGGTACACAACAAACTAGGTATATTATAATAATAACAATATTACGTGTTCGCAAAGTACCAAAACCGGTAAAATTATCGCGTATTACCGACCGCGAACGGAAACTATATTATCCTCTCCCCCATATACGCTCGGGTATAATAACCGGTCATTATTATACACGCGCATTATATTACCTACCTACCATAATGATATTAATTTTTACGCACACCCGGTTCACCATTAGCGCACTTAGGATTTTGCCAAGGAGGAAGATATTGAATTTGGATACTGTGTCGTATTCTAGAGTGGTATACATTATTATTGCTCTTTAAAGTAAATTGTTATGAGCTCTTGTATATATATATATATATAAATATATTAAAAAAAAAAGCTGATACTGGGGACGGATGTGGCCACTGTTGTAGGTGGATATAGTCGAGAGGGTGGGATGCATAAAGTTATTTAATTTATACATGTAACCAGCGATAAACCATTGATAACGAAAAACGATTCGGATGGAATTTCGGTTATACGTGTAGATATTTTGAAATATAATTATGAATATAAAAAAATATGTTTTGTAATATTTACGATTTTCGTCAAAATTTGATTTTAAACTTAGAAAAACAAAGAAAACTATATTTAACTCAATTTTTTTTTTTTTTTTTGACAACCAAGTATGACTTATAATGAACCTCCTGACAAATTTTCAAGCATTCATGACAATTTGTATAGCATTTCTAACAATTTTATCTACAGAGTACCTACTAAATAAAAATTACGTAAAAAAAAAATTGCAAAATTAAAATGGCTCAAATGTTTGAAAATGTTACCAAGTCTAGTAAAAGCAAATATAAGTTTTCTGACAACATTTCATGACTCTACGAATATTTTTAACTGAATTACATTAAAAAAACAACATTGAAAATAATTAAATAATAATTTTCGTAAGCTTTCTCGTTCTTTTTACGTATTTTTCGATTTTGCTCAATCAGTGAAAAAAAAAATACTAAGATAATAAAAAAAAGACTTGTTTAGTCACTCATTATAAATTAAAAATTCAACAAAAAAAGAATTCCTATTGGTTTTTCTACTAGAGTAATATTTCTGATAGAAAATGGAAAGCGTAAAAATTGAAAAAAAATGAAATCGTTACACCCTAAATTTGTCAGTTTTCATTTTACATTTTTAGATTCAAAGTGTCGCGAGTGGAAAAAAAAGGTTAGACTAAACAGAGATGCTTGATAATTTGACAAGATATTCATTACAAGTCATATTTAGTTGTGAAAAAAAAAAATACACTTCCCTAAATTTGTCAGTAAAAACTATTTTGCGCGTGCAAGAACCATCACTCGGACAAATAGCAACTAACATGATGTTTGGATGGAAATAGTAATAATCACTGCAATTCGCGTACTATTTTTAATTTTAGTTTTATAAAATTTATTTGGCCCAAAAAAATACTCATAAATTTTAAATGAAAATTTGACGAACAATTGTAATAGTATTGGTTATCTGTATTGGGTAGTTTATTTTAGATTCTGACCGTAGCAAGACATGTATTTGTTTTACTATGATGTATTTTTTTCGCGGTATAGTTTTCTTAATCCTAAGGCCCGGCGTCCACCAAAGTAACGCGACTCGTGATATGACAAGTGACGTGACGAGTGATTCAGCAAGATTTTTTCCCAATAAATTGGTCCGAAATTTTTTAACTCTCTAGATTTAGATTTAAAAAAAAAATTAATCGAAAACCCGAAATATTATTAAAAATTGGTCAATATTAAATATTGAATAAAATGTTATTTCATTTATATCGTAAAATATTATATAATATCATTGCTTAATCTTAATTCTTATACTTTGTTCTAATTTAAATTTTATTTCAATCAACTTGTATAATTTGTATACAATTACTAAGCGTGTTGATACTGTTATAATAAGCAATCTGTATATTATTGGTATGCAATATTGACTCCCTACCTTCATCACAAGCTATGCTTAAAGAAGGTAGGTATAAATTTAAGATATATTGTATTGTTATTGTATTTATAATGTGTACAATTAATCTTTTATTTAAAAAAAAAATAAATTATTATAATTATATGTAAGTAAATATATTTGTAAATTGTCCATTAGGGGGGGGGTGAACCCCCTAACCCCGTCCCCGTAAGCATGACCCTGTATATTTTCTATATTATGTTAGTATAATTATTATGATACATACCTTTCCACGGTGGAGAGCTGATGACAAGTGACAAAAGTAGAACATGCAGTACTTTTGTCATCAACAACGTTTCAGAAGTTGGACAAAACTGATACGCGATCCGACAGGTTTGATCAGTGTACGGACATGAATGATTTTTGTACGTATGCAACGACAAATAACTTGTATGGCATGTCACCTGCTAAATCACTCGTCACTTGTCATATCACGAGTCGCGTTACTGTGGTGGACGCCGGGCCCAATCTGACAACACTAATGAAATAATAGTAAGCCGTGCCGTACGGTTCTTAATTATTATGCAATTTAAAATATATTAAAGGAATAGTACGTTGAATTCGGGCAACAGAGTGTTGACCAAGGGTTTACTTTTTCACAGAAAAGATAATATTTTTCGGCGATAGCTCTCTAAAAGAAAATTTGGAGAGGGGGAATCGTAATACATTTTTACCATCTAAGACACCATTCGAAGAAGTTACTCATTTAGAAACAAAGATAAGATAAAATTACGAATTCCTCACTAAATAATGGCGTTGGTTCGATTTTAAAACTCCAGAATGCGAGTGCCAGGATGACGGACCTATTTTTGTCAATAATTTACAATAGTTTAATCTGTTCAAAAATTATCATTGAAATCAAATTGTTGGTTACGTTATATAAGTAACAGTAATTATAAGTAAAATAAGTTTATTATTTATTATATTATAGTGGTTCGAACAGATTTCGTTTAAATTTGTACGGTTTGATATACTTACGTTTAGATTTATTCGGTGTATTAACATGCTATTGGTAGGTTAACCAACAAAATTTTCATTTTTCTGACTTGAAAGTATAGAATATTTTGAATTCAAAATTTGGTAGTCCCTTAATTAATTATTAGATATTAAAAAAAAAAAAAAAAAACTCAAGGTGAAATGTCACATAAAACTGCACATGAACATGTCTGATTTATTATCATAGTTACCAATAATTAGTGTACATTTTGTACTTGGTACATTTGAACGTATCGTTTATATAATCGAATATTTCCCGGTCGGTGGTAAATAAAATCAAACAACTTATTACTTAACTTAGCAATTTATAAAGCTACGTTGATTTTATTATTATCAATCCATATATATATATAAATACATAATGATATAAAATTAATTTAAAAGATGATGTCGTTTTTGATACAAAAATAATGCACTGCTTTGCATAACTACTTGTATGACATAGTGATATTTGTGGTTCATTAGCTTTCATCAAATACAATGATCTATAAGTAACATCTATATTATATTTGTTTACGATTACAGAGGGAGTCTTTACTAATCTACACAACTTCAGTTGCGATTTTTCTAACGATTAGGATGTCAAAATGTAAAACGGCATAGTCATTAATCAACTACTCTATAGTCTACGACGGAATAGCCTATGGTTGGGTTTTGTTGGTTAGATTTCATAGATTATAATATGACATATCCGTTAAAGAAATGTCCATAATAAAGAAACCCCCCCCCCGAGTTTATTACTATGTTATGATATTATGACAGGTAACTATATATAATCCTGTATGTGTGAAAAGAGAGTCGTCTGTTCCCTCTACATTTGCAAAACATATTGCCTTTATTATTTATTCATACCAAAATCTCGAATAGCAGTTGTGGAGTTATAATAGTAACAATAATTAGGCTAATAACAATGACGCGCGATACCTGCACCGGCGGGAATGACGACGCATAAGTCGGTGGCCCAATTTTCGAAAAGAATCCATAATACTGTATAAGCTATGAGTAGTATGAAAAAGGGCGGTTCTAACTCGGGATCAAGTGCCGGTGCGAGGATCAAGTGCCAAGTGCCAAGTGCTATACCTAATACATAGCCGCCCGAATTGTCCATCTCTTCACCTACCTATATTCCCCCCTCCCCCTCCCCCACTTTTTTTAAAAATATTTTCTAAGCCCTCCCCCTACCTATATTCTCCCCTCCCCTACTTTTTTTTAAAAATATTTTCTTCGTACTGATTTGGCAAGAATATTATAATTTGTTTATATACTATGTAGCTATGCGATAACAATAGATATATGGTAACAGTAGGTATGTATATGTTTATGTATGTATATGGTATCAGTATGTAGGTATGTATGTATATGTTTATGTATGTATGTATGTGGTTAGGTAGATGTGTGCGAGTGTGTGTGTAGTGTCGCTCAGTGATAAGGAAGACAAATTTGTACGAAGAAAATATTTTTAAAAAAAGTGGGGGAGGGGGAGGGGAGAATATAGGTAGGTGATAAGATGGACAATTCGGGCGGCTGTGTATTAGGTATAGCACTCGGCACTTGCACTTGATCCTGAGTTAGAACCGCCCTTTTCATACTACCGCTATGTATAATTATAAAAGCGAAAAACAAAAGTAGAATTTTTTTTTAAAAAAACCTCTAAAAATGTAATTTGAATTTCGAGCCTCGTGCAAATATCAAATTGCACCGATATTAGTAATTAACTATAAAAATATCGAGGTTCTTTGTTGACTTATTAGACGTTACGAAGTTTAATTAGTAGAATTTTATAAAAATGTTACCCATATTATATATAAATAGTGAAAAATATAATATTATATATCACGGCGCGGATAATTATGAAACAATATTCAAGTATTTTGTATAGTTTTAAATACAAGCAAATTAATTGTTGAAAATATTGCTAATTGACATGATGACATTTTCTACATTGTACCGTTATGCCAAAAGACGGTTTTCTAAATGGCTAAATAGGGTCCATAAAAGTTTAACGACGGCTATAGGGTCTACGTGGACAGGCATAGGTACAACCTAACTTAACCATTTATAGATACAGTATTGTATACATGTTTGCTAAACAAGAACTATGTATCATAATGAAATGATATGTAATTATAATCGATAATAAAATGTTCAATATGTGTGTAGCATATACATGCACGTACGCCATAAAACTTGAGGCGAAATTATAAAAAAAAAAAAAAAAAATCAATCCAATAACGGTCGCCATGCAGGGACCAAAGGTACGATACCGTCCTTTATTTTTGCGGTTAGTTTTTACCAATAAATGATTTTGTCGTGAAATCGTACAGGGACGCGCGGTCGGTGACACGCCGCGAAATCGCGGTCTGCAAAACGTTGATGCGAACGCCGCGTTTCCGAATAATATTCGAAACATTACGCTGCGCCGTACGCGGGTACCGATTGCGTATCGGCCGTAGTCAAATTTCGAAATCTAAATTTTTTTTTTTTTTTTTTTTTGTCGGCGGCGATTGGCCGTTGAACAGCGACGGGCGCGTTTGCTGCTGATGTTTGATGTCCGTCTAACGCGCACCGTCTCTCGCGGCCGCTACACGCGGTGGCGAAATAAAAACGACCGTTGTGTATTGGTGCCTTCGCGAAGACGTTCCCGGGCAAGCTCTTGGGAAATCATTGCACGACCGACGCGCGAACTTTATATACATGTACGTTGCTTAACAACGAGATTGGTTACTACCAGTTAATGGGGTTTCTCTAGCAAAGATTTACCTGAGTCGTTGAACATATATACGTACATACGCGCGCACACGCGCACACGCACACGCACACAGACTTATGCACAAACATAACGCACGCCTCTATTCATACAATGGTGTGTGTGTGTGTGTGTGTGTGTGTGTGTGTCGACAAAAGTGTTCTGAAAAACCCGCAGGTGCTATCGGAAACGTATTTATTAAAATCGTTTGGGGTCCTGCGATCCGCGTAAAACGAAACCCTAAAACAATTTCCAAACGGTCGTCAATAATTGCCAAAATTGCCAAAATGATTTCGAAATTGTATACGTGTGGAATTGTGCAACTGCGTGCAATTATACGGCTATACTGTACCTGCGTTTATAAGTATTCAATGGAATTTCTGGCTTCTACTATTATTTTTCACCGAGTTAAGGAAAAAGAATGCACAACAGCAGAAACCGCGTTACTATATTATATTAAATATTTACTGCTACTATCTAACGCATTACTGGTTAAATGTATACATTACTTTATCCATAGGTAACGGCTTAAAAATTTCCACACGTTTGCTTTATGATTTTTCCCATAGTTAAAAATACTACAAAGAACATCAAAAAAAAAAAAATAACCTCCTCGTTGCACCAAAAAGAAAACGTTTTTTACTAGAAACCATCGTCTCTAAAGTTAATGACCGGAGCAATATTTCTGTTAGGAAAATTGTTTTCAAACACAAAAAAATAATAAAACATCGTGTCTGTAAAATACGAAATATAACGATAATACGATTCTGAGTAAAATTCGGGTAACGTGTTTTGAAATGACGTGATTTTTACGATTTTCGTAAAAATTTAAAAGTTTATGAAAAAATAATTGCATTACGCGAGACTTATTTGTTTTTTTTATTTTTTTCGTTTTGTGCAACTTATGTCGAACCGTTTAGGTATTAAATTTCCAATAATTTCAGTTCGGCCAAAAAATTGTATCCGCGTTTTAAACCAATTAAAAACTATAAAATATCAAATGCCTATATAAATACATAGCATACATAAAAATCTAAAACGCATCATATTTTATTATTGCTTAAAACATTATGACGCCCATTTGAAATGTGGTACCCAACGCCAATATTCACCCACCCACTCCCTGACCCCTTCTAGTAAATATTTCCCTGGGTGTTATAACCAATAGTCTGTACCTATTATTTCGTATCTATGTCTATTTATATATAAAAAAAAAAAACAAACAAAATGTACTAACTGACTAACTGATTCATCATCGGTTAACACAAACCACTGGACGTATCGGTCTGAAATTTGGCATACAGATAGCTATTTCGACGTCAACATCCGTTATAAACAAGGATTTTTGAAAATTCGACCCCTTAGGGCCAAAAGAGTACAATTGGGTTTTTAAGGTATTTTTGATACGAATATCTAATTGTTAATTAATTAATTTTTTTTTTTTTGTTGTTTATTCATGGCTTAGCATGCTAAGATATCATGTCATGATATGACATAGATGACAATTTGATTGTCACGGACAAGAAAACTATTATTATTATTGTTATTATTTACACTATTACCTAGCAATGGCAAAGCATTGCCGAGTCAGCTAGTGCAGCAAACTCGTATATAGTCGGAAAACGTATTGAAAAAAAAATGTTTTGAATACCTATTGCTATTGGCAAAAAAATATATAATAAACGACTAATCATTGGTGTCATGCTATACCAACACCTACAATTTGTTTAAAAAAATTACCTTAACATAGGTACATCAGTTTTCATCAATGCACGTGCCCGCTCATTCCTGGCTACGGTAATGGGTTTTGTTATTAACGTTTTCAATAAACATGTCTATTAGAGTACTGAAAAAAAATATAATACATCTCACTTATAATATTATAGCATTCGATATCGGTCAACAAAAATACAAATAATCTAATATAATATTACGTCTATATAAATATTAGAGGAAAAAAATAATTTGTCCATTGATACAACGGCATCTATCGGCAACCCGAATAAACTATGAGTACGGTTTACATACAAGCTTATCATACATCGCTAGAGACCAATGGGAAATCGAAATAACATAATATTATCAATATTCAATGTTTTCTGTGTTTTTTAATTTTTTAAAAATTTTATATAGAAATTAAGATACCTATTCAATAGTTTATTATTAATTAGCACCCCAAATATAATATAAATTACTTACAAACACATAGTTTGTTACACATTTGGAACACTTGAAGTTATTCAATTTTTTTCAAATTAGGTATTTGTGATAGATAAGATGATATTTATATAATATAGATAATATAGATAATATTATTTCAAGGTTAATTTACCGAAAGAAACCCATATGTTCAGCTTTTCACTGTTGAAGGACTTTACTGCGGAAAATTAATAATAATTTTACGACGTCCCAAAGTCATAACTGTTATAACTCGACTTGCAATATTACATATCTAATTGTGACGAACTTTTTTCAGCAATGTTTGCACGCAAAACGATCGTACTCTTAACGGTGCTGATGATGTTTGGCATAGCCCAGGCTGGGCCGTTGGCAGCTGGGATATGTTATGCCGGTTGCGCGTCCGTGACGGTCGCCTGTTTCGCAGCCGCAGGATTTACGTTTGGGACGGTCCCCGGCGCGGTGATCGCCGCAACTCCTGCCTTAGCAGCGTGTAACACTGCCTTTGGGATATGCGAAGCGGCCTGCGTGGCCGCCTTAGTAGCGCCTACAGTATAAGAAGAGCCCAACAACACCGTACAAGTCGTACCTTTAATACACTTATACAGTGTATAATATACACATAACGTTATAAATTCCGAAAAAAAGTAACAACATAATGTCAGGATATTGTGAAATTGTTTTGTTTTTGTTTTTTTCATTAATAAATTAAACTTATCTATATTGTATATTAAAATGTGTTTGATTTTTTTTTTTTTTTTTTCTATAGATCGGAGCGTATTATAAGTAATTTTTAATGAGTGGCACTTCGGTATAGATACGCACTTCCCGATGAACATAGAGGGGAAACCGACCCCACTGTTTAGATTAATCTATATTGAATTCTATAACTGCGACAGTAGCGACATTCAATATCAACATTACCTAAATAAATTCTTAATAAAACACTTAAATATTTTGTATTTTAATTTCAGTAACTGTTTTAAAACAAACAATAAAAGAAAACAATTACCAAGTTCGAATCAACAGTAGAGATGACCTGAATATGGTAGAATATGTATAACATATATTCAGTGTACCTACCATGTACATAATATGTATAGGTTATAACGGATAATAATATAGCATTTGTTTAAAAACAATATTATTACAGTTTTGACCATATCAATGTTTCAGAAAATATAATAAATATCTAAATAACAATACACCCCATGTAGTCTAGACTCTGGACAAAGTGTGGTTTTTCTTTAATTTTCCTATTCATGATTTATATCTATTCTGTATTATAAGGTACAACAAACATTTAATAAGGCAGTACAAATCAGGTGTCTAACTATGTTAGGCAATTTTTCTTTATTTTTTCCATATTATTCTTTGTAAAAAAAAATATGATACCTACTATAATATATTATTGTTTATAGATTGCAATTAAAAATAATTCAGCTTAGCACTATACACATTTCTAAATTTTACCTATTCATCAATTTGTGAAGTTGAGTAAATTAATAATTTAAAAAACTGTGGATTCCTGGTACTCAGATAAGTAGGTACCTTCGTTTTCAAAAATTATTACCAGTTATTTACAAATGGAATTATCAACATTTATCCTTGTGTATGCAAATAGATGAGGTTACTAGTTTTCAAACTGAAGAAAACAATTTTTTGTTTACAATTATATATTACAGAATGTAAGCAAACTCTAGACTTTATTTACCAATACACCTCTGCTTTAAAAGTTTAAATTGATCGAGTAAATGGAATCATCTGATTACTGAGCCACATTTATATAGACAGTAAATTGACCATATATTTGTAGATAATAAATAGTAAATATTATAGGCATTGTTTGCATAATTTTAATTCAATAAGAACGATAAACATATAATATTAATTTTATAGGTGGTTCAATATTTGAATGTATATATATATATATATATATTTTCTAGGTACCTATGTGTTTTTTTTTGTTTATTAATTTAAAACAAATAAAACATCTTATAAGCTATTTACGGTGTCATTTTAAATAAATATTTCAATATATATGTATATTACAGTTTTTTTCTTTTTTCCTGAATGTAAGGAGATAAGGAAAAAAAATGCATGCAAAAATAGTTAATCAAAAAAAATCGAACAATTTAATTAAAGAATATATATTTTCAAAAAGTCTTACAAAATTTAAGATTTCTAATATTTTAACATAAGTAAACATTGTAATCACTTACAACTGGTATTTTGTATAAAATTCAATAAATATTTAACATTTTCGAAATGATCAATAATAAATAAATGTATAACGAAAAATGTAGTTCATATAAATATATACCTTAAATAATAAGTACTGCCTATGTATAATTTACTAGTTTAGTTACTAGGAAAACAACATTTGAACCTGTCACAAAACTGAATATTTGTAGACTGTGCCAATATAAAAATATATACAGGTATAATAGTTCTTTTTGATCTCATATATTAATTTAAAAATCTAAATATAGGTAGCTCGTTATTGGTTTTAATCTTTGTTTTGAACTACGTTCAATACAAATTAAAACCACGACATATACAGTATGTATCTAATAATAACAGGAATAAATAAGTATATAAGTACTTTCAATGTTCATATTTGTTTACAAAAAATTATCTTAAATTTTAATTATCACATCAGTAGCACCACAATATTGTATTTAATAACTGAATCCCAAATGGTGCAAAATAAAAGTGTTAGTTACCTACACATATTATTCGGTTAGAGGAATAAAATAATCACAATAGTAGAATATTATAGGATTAAGAAACTTGTTATAATAAGTTTGTTTACTATTTAAAATAAGTATACCTAATTTTTAATTTTAGAAAAATGTTCTGATTATACCAAACAATGAATGGTATTCTTTAAACAATACAATAGTGTAATAATACATTTATTTCTATATAAAAACTTAAAAACCAAATAAAACGGTCCATTAATATAATATTCAATATAAGGTGTGGAATATAAAATCAAAAATAAGTATAAATAAACATTTAGAACTCGACTAGTATGAATTCCATAAATGGCAAGAAAGTTGTAATAAACACAAACATTCCGACTTCAAAATGTAAACAATTATAATGAATTTAAATGAGATCATTGATATTGTATTATCTGTTAAATTGTGAATAATTTATTAAATAACCATTTTTAAAAAATGTGTAGTTAATTTTGATAATTACATCATATAGAACACACCACCGTATTTTTCCAGTTTTCTTATATAACTACACAGAATAACAAAGTGGGTCACTTTGTATAATAATCCATATCAAAAATGCTATTTCAATAATAATAAACCCAATTTAACTCTTTAATACAAAATAAATATAAATAATAGTTCTTAATTACTCGAAATTAAAATATTAAAGAAAAACTCTGTTATAAAATTGTTTAAAAACCCCAAATACAATGTTTTATATCTACCTCATTAATTCAAGTACAATTAATAAGTCTGTAATTGAGTAAATTATATTTAAAATAATTAGTTAAAGTTATTTTAATAATCTAATAAATTGATAGTCACAGGGGGTGCAATATGATCTACTCCATATTGAGCTAGTAACAATGCCGCCATCCAGCGTAAATGATCTTCTTTAGTAGTACCGGCAATTGACCAACCAAAATTGTCTTTTAATCTGTATAAGAATAATTTAGTAGAATACATGAATACAAATTAATTTTCAAATAAATAACCTAATTGCTTAATTTCATTTCATTTTACTTACTCCTTTGGTAGTTCACTCTTTAAAATAAATGTTATACACCATCTACAAAACAATTAAATAAAAAAGAATAATAAATAAAGCATTTAAATCATAAAATAATAATAGAAATGTAATAACTAAATTTTTAAAGTCCAAAGAAGCAATGGATAGATGGAATAAGATATGACTTGATGGCGATTAGTGTATTTACACGTGGTTTAAACAGACACGCAACAAAAGTATTTGACTTTAAATAAAAGTAAAAGCTAAAAAATATATAATTATCTACTATATATGCAAATAGTATAATATATTTTGAACTGTTTTAAATAAAACACTTTTATATTTTTGGCTAATTCAAAATGTTTTCCCCTGATCTGTTCAAGTTTGAGTTAACCAAGTTCGACTGGGTAATAATTTCCACTAATTACCATTACCTGCCTATCAAATAAAATATAAGAAAAAACAAAACATATACTAAAAATTGTAGTAATAGTATAATATAATGTAATATCTAACTACTTTCGTTATTATTTTTTAAGTAGTCACAGATCCAGCAACTTATGCAAATATCCCGCAGATTCCAAAAGAAAAACTTGCTCATTACTTATTAAATATACTAATATTTACCTAGTGTGAGGATTTCTTTTTGGTTCACATCCAATATACCAAATTAAATCTTTAATAAACCATTCAAATAATGACAATGATCCCTAAATTTAAAAATGAAATTAGATAAAAAGTATAAATTTATAAATACACTTAGTATCGTTAAATATAAACTTACTGATTTATCTTTGTAACATATTAATTTACCCCCACTAATTTCAAATAAATATGTTTTAAATGATTTGCTCTTTTGTTCTGCAAATTTCAATTCTGTACATATAGTTAAAGGTTCTTTAACCTAAAAAATAAAATAATTACACATTTATAAATTCTCAATGGATCTATTTATTACTTACAAATGGCATTATTTCAATGAGTAAAGAATTAGGTTGGAGACAAACAATATAATTATCTTTTCTATATGTTACATTCCAATAAGCCCATGACAGGACTATGTCCAATAAAAACTCTGAAAAATGAATTGGACGAATCATTGTTCCATTACAAATTACTTCCTGTAAGCCAAGTAAATGACCTCCGCAAGCTCCCATTTTATTTGCAAGCTCATCACAAACCATTAAAGCGGTTTTATTCGGACTCAACTGAAATACAAATCTTAAATAATAAAAAGTACATTTTTTAATTAGAAATTTAAAAAAATTAACTTACAGTGACATTGACACAATTTTCACTGTCTTTTGATCCTAAATATATCCAAATTTTTAAATCTCCAGAGGGTTTTGATGGTTGAGGAACATTACCATTTGATAAATTATATTGTATTAAAGCTTCTAAAATTCTATCTTCTCGCTTGATTTCGTCATCTTCCACATAAAACAATTGAGGATATAATATTATAAGGTCATTAACAACTTCAGACTCTATTTTCGACCAATTGAGTGAATCACTGTCCTAAAATTGTGTTTAAATTAAAATAATACATTATATACTTTAAAAGGCCAAATAATGATTTAAACATACTTCTGTATGCATTAAAGTCGGACCCCAAATAGATGATAAATTTTGTACAGTCATCAGGTTTTTATCATTCTGAAGTTGAATGTAATACAAATGACTCAGGAGTTTGCGCACAGTTACATAATTTATAGCTGGTAGCCTTTCTAATAAGCTTCTGTAAAGTATCACTTTTTCGTTTTCTGAACAATTGCACTTAGCAGCATTACAAAGATGTGTATGGAGTTCAGTGGTGAGCACAGGTTCTGGCAAATCTCTAAAGAATCGCTTTAATACACTGGCTACATCGTATACTGGATAATCTTGATTACTTAACTGAACAGCCCAAGCATCTTTTCGAAATGCAGATAAAAGTTTAGTAGCATTAGAGCATGAGCCACTACGCCTGTAAACACCTTCAGTCAAACATCCTGCAACACAATTTTTATTTTATTTTAAAATTATTGAAATGTATTTTTTAAAAACTATAAAACATACCATGAGCATATATAAAATTCACACATTTTTCAACAATTACTGGGACTTGATCTTTACTTAACTGCTGATCTTCTAAATGTGGACTAGTGTTTAGAGTTTCTGCTTTTATTAATTGCTGCCATTTTAAAATTTCTGATTCTTCATCAAACTTTAAATAAATTAATTTTGTAATACAATCTATAACTAACACAGTAGTTTTTAATTCTTCATCTTCTTGAGTCCCTGAAATTTTTTTTTTTTTTATCAATTAAATCTTCTGTCAATTAGTAACATAAATAATACAACAAATTAACACATAATATAATACATTTGTGATATAAATATGATACTAACCTACGGTTCTGACTTTTCTCAAATCAATCAATTCTGGTCCACAGATTTCTTTAGTATAGGCTAGTACTCTATTATGTAACAATAACCAGGTTTGTTTCCACTCATTATTTATACCTTCCTATTAACAAATCATTATGAAAATGAAATAAATAAAAACTAATTTTTTTTTTTTTTTTTTTGTAATTGCATTCAAATAAATATGTATACTTTTAATGTAGCACAACCAGCTCGACTAAATTCAGTAGATATTTTATGTGAAAATGAACCAGTCACTGATCCAAGAAATTTCTGCATCCAAACTAGCCGTTCTGTCGTACATAAAGCACCAAACAATACTAATTGAGGGCGAGACCTAAATTTTACTTGAAAGCAAAATATATCCTCGTCTTCACTGTATAAAAGAAAAAATAAATAAATGCATAGTGTGCTACTACAAAAAAAATAAATTAATTAATAAATTTACCTTTGTTTAGGTTTACTGATTATTTGAATACTTAATAATGTTGCTAATGAAATTGAATTTCCCACTTGGTTTTTATTAGCTGAATATTTAAACTGGCCACCCACAATTTGACACCATTTTTTTTCAAAATCTTTATTTTTTTCATCAATACTAACAAATAAAATACCATTATAAAAAATACCAGATTGTTCTACTTCAACGAAATCTTCTTTATTAATCTTTTCTTCTGGTTTTAATATTGATTTAAATTTTCTAACAGATTCAGATGATCCATCAGCTACTTTTTTCAAGGTACGTTTCATACTTAACCAACTTTTTAAGGAATTTTTTCTAGGTTTTTCTTCAATAATAGGTTCATTCTGAATTTCTTCTTTTAAACCATTATTCTCATGATCTGTGGGTATCACTATAGAACCAACAGATTCTTGAATCGAATCAACACGATTTGGAGGTTCAGGGATATTATACAAATCATCATCTAAATTTTCAAACTCATAGTTCCCTACACTATTAGATTCAATTGTACTGTAATGTGAAGAGTATAATATTTCATCAATTTCTTGTAGTAATGAGCATTCTTCATTTTCTACTTCTTCATCAACTTCCTCTTCAACTTCTTTCTCATCTAATGCTTCTTCAGCATCTTCTTTCTGTTTGGTCACTAAACTATCAAATGAATTTTCTAAAGGATCAAATTGTAATACAACTAACTTTGTATCATTAAAGTTTTCTTTATTGTTTGATAAGTAGATTGGATGAATATTTTCATAATTGTCTGATTTATTATTTTTACAATCTGAATTAAAATTACTTGTATCACTAGAGCTGAAACTTTTCTCACTTGTTGGATTCCAATTTTCATAAGAATTGCCTTGTAATTTTGGTGGTCCATGTGAGATGAATTCATATATATTTTCTGTTGTATATGATCCACATTGACTACTGGAATTGCTTGAGCCTGGTATTTTATCATACAATATGTTTACAGGTAAAGGGGGTGGTGGAAAATTCGGAGGTTGTGAATTATAAAAATCCGACTCTGTATAATAATTACTAAACGATCGATCTGAGTTACTATCTGATGGTATTGGAGAGTCAAAACTCAATGAAGAAAATATGTCATTGTCAATCGGAGATTCACATGTATATGGTTTAAAATCTTCAGATGTTTGACTTATTGTGTGTCGTCGTACAGGTCTAGGCAAAAAGTTGCGAAGAGATTTTTCAATACAAATACTCATACTTCTAGTATTTTCGAGTACTGATCGTTTCCGCTCTTGAATATTTTCTGATGCCATTTTAAATTCTGATTTGATATGTTTTCTGAGCAAAACAGTTGTATCCTTTAGGGCGGAAGATGTTGAGCTTGAGCCATCATTCAAAATACTATTATTAAGGTTTACATGTTGTCGAGGTAATGGTACTGGTAGCTTCTTTTTACATTGATTATTAATACTATTTCTTGGAGGTGGCAATGGACGATAGTCAGAATTCTCCATGACTCATCTGAAAATGAAAAACAACTATTAAAATCACGTGTAAATTAAATTCATAGAATGTATATAATCAATATATTTAACTTAGCATTATTATAAAGGAATGCGAATATTTAAATAAGATAATATTACACAAAAAGTGTAGGTACTTAATAAACAAAAATAATATTAAATCTTTTCAACTAGATAAGAATTACAGAGATATATATAGTATACAATTACAAAACTAATATTTAAATAAAAATAACTATAAACTATTTAAAATTATTATTTCAAATTAAATAGGTATGTTAATTATTGTTCTAAGAATTTAATAACTCGTTCGAATGACCTACTATTATAAACAAAAACAAAAACAAAATTATAATATAATATAAACACAACTTGTAATGTAACAATGTAATTTTAAATTAATGCAGACAAAATTAAAAAGAAAGACTCACATTCTTTATTTAGATAAAAGAAAAATAATTTTTTTTTAGATTTTTACCACAATTAATGGTAATCAATTTTATTTATGATGATATGATATTAATGTACTATAGATGTTTTAGAGGAATACTGGTTAACCAAATGTATACCTATTTGAATAGCATTTAAATAACAATTGTTGTTAAAATACTATTTAAAAACTGTTTACTGTATTAATTTGTTAGAAAGTAAATGAAAGACAATTTATTTTATTTTGAAATCTTTAACATGTAGGTACCTAGACAAATTTCCCCTCGCTTATATTGTATTATAGAAATATTCTTTGTAAACAATAAATAGGCAAATAATAATAATACAATAATAAACTATACTATACAATATTATACTATTTCCAAAAAAATTCTGAAATTTGTGCATAAGGTAGGGGAAAGGGTTGAAAATTGAAACAGCCAAACAGGGATATCCTTGATACTAACACCCTACACATATAAAATTTCACTCTCTGGCTTCATTAGTGAAGTTCCCTAGCTAAATAAATTCCCTGCTCCCATCTTACAACATGCTAAAATAGATACTGAAATTCAAACTTTTATTATTTCAATCAGTCTATAAAACAACTTTTATTTACAAGTTCAAGTTCTTTTGTCTAGAGGAAGTCACTAAAATTGTACAAAATGATACATTTATATATTTAATAAACATAGACTACAAATAGCTTTGGAAAAATTTAAATACAAAATCAAATCTTCGTAGAAATAATATAGTTTTATTATTTATCGAAATTGTGTTAATATAGTTGATTAAAATATTGAGTAAGAAAAAAGATAAATAATCAAAATCATACTATCAAAGGTCAAAATTTTGAAATGATTTTAAAAATATAACTTAAAAGAAATATACAAAAATTATAATTATAGAATATTACATTAAATATGACTATAATATATTATATTCTTGTATACAACTTTTGAATTTTTATTTCATCTTTTATTTTAGAATAATTTTTTATGAAGACTAAATTAATGTTCAAAATAAATGCCTACAGACTGATATTCAATTATTTTTCAGTTGTATTAATATAAACATTCTTTCATTTATTTAATTATATTGTATACTAAAATACATATCTATATTATTTTGATTGTATCATAATATTTAATAACTGGATTTCCCAGTAAAAAATTATTGATAATATAATCAATTATACTGCCCACAATTAACTGCCCTGTACTTTGCCTAAAACCCCATTTAAATTTAACAAACAGATAATAATTAATAATAATAAAACTAATTTTCATCTACTTATATCACTCTAGTAGATTTTTAAATTAATGTATATTACCAGTATTATATTAACTAGCAAATAGGTAATGATATGTTATATATTTTAGTACCGACTACCTAGTAAATATAGTGTAATACCAAGCTACAAACTATAAGTATGCAGGTGCACATACTCTATACATACCTCGGTAGGTAGTTTTAATTCAAGGACACATAGAAAACACCTGGAATACATTATTATATATTTAGAAACATATTTTTATTTTAATGAATTATTTAAAATTTAAATGTCAATACTATTTTATTAAAAAATATCAATAAATTATCTACCTATAAAATGAAATCAAAAAATATTTATTTAAATGTTAGAAAAAAAAAAAAAAAAGTGATTCGATAGATACTTTATTGTTAATGATATTGGCTATAAAAGTGACTACAAATAAAGAATGTGAAATGATGTTACAATAGTTATTTTATCTTTGAAAATACACATTATACAATAATGAGCATATTAATAAATTACTACATTGCCATTATTGATTTTTAATTGAAAAAATGTTTACACTTGGTTAAGTAAACAGCAAATAGATTTAACGATAAAACTTAGTTCTATATTATGAAGTCGAATGCGATATAATTTATGATGTGTGTGTGTGTGTGTGTCAATGTATGTGTATTATTAAGTATATAGGTACATAACTGTCTAATAAATAGTATAATATTATTTGTAGCAGATTAATGATTAATTAATTAATTACAAAACTTAACGTAAAATAAAATCATAATAATCAAATGAATTTTTTAAAAAAATATTACATCTAGGTGATTACCGTGTGTCGCATAGGCACATAAAACAACATTGTTTCATATAATCTGTGGCAATATCATCCTAATGTGACATAACGTTTTGGTTGCTGAATACCGTTTTTTTTTTTATTTGTGCCTATCCTTAGAATATTTAATTCGTACGACACTCTTATCACGCACGTTGGACAATTTAAATACATATTATTACTATATTATACGAATCGAGATAAAATATTTCGATATTGCGCTGCCGAAATATGTCACGCGTACTATATTATAATAGTATAATAGATATGCACGTATATTATAATGTTTTTTTACAACTTAAATGCGCAATAAATGTTTTTACCTCGATGATCCTTTGTAATTCGCTGATGATAATGAACCGAATAGTAAAAATAATAATAATAATAATAATAATAATAATAATAATAATAATAATAATAAAACAACAACTTTTTAAGACGAAACGACGGTGTTTTTGTTATTCTCACGACACGAACACTAAAACGCGCACACACCACTTGTTGATCACTTGTTGATTACAACATCATTGGCTATTGCGATTTTGTCCGTACACCAATGTGCCGTAACAACAACGTTCATCATCAGCGTTTTACCTGCGGTGATACCAGGCACGAGTGTTGATAAGTAATGAGATAACGATAGAATATCGCTCACTCCCCCCCTTCTAATAACAAATAATGTCTACCCGCACCTGTAATGTTATTTACCTGCGGTACGCGACTACGTTACGTACACATAATATCACGGCAAGTGGAGGTGCCTCTCTGCTTATGACTGTCGGGTATCCGGAAACCACACGGGCGTAATTTACGTTCGGAGGGAGCGCACTCGCACCGCAATTCTGTGCCGGCGATCCGTATGGACTCGTCACCGCAGATCGCGCCTGTTACAGTGCGTGTACCAAGGTGCCTGCGGGTGCGCAATATCCGCGCTTGTCGCACAGGTACGTTTCCGCCGTAACAAATGTTAGACGGGCCGTCGCGTTGATTCTGAAATCGTATAGGCGTGTGCGTATCGTGTTAAATACATGTATTTATGCAGGAATATTACAATACCCAATAATATGATTCACGGCTTGTGACACGACCGTCGCCGGTTCGCCGAATCGGAATGCACGAAAATGAGTTTAAATTGGCCGCTAATTAAAAATAACAATCGTCTATTAGTCCGTAACCGCCTGTTTTAACGTTTCCTAAACTTTTCGTAACAGTGCTATTATGTAGTTAATCTTTAAACAATTAGTTTATGTAACCGCGTAACCTGTTGCGTATTAAATAAATTAAACACGAGTCCCGAATTGAAGATGGTAGCAAATCAAACAGGCGTTATTGAAAATATTGAGATATGAACAATAATGACCCGACCCGACAGCCCGTAGGCTCGCACTGTCCCTCTTTGAGACCCGGTCCGTGGAACCCGCGGGCTTACAGTCGCGTTGCGAGACTTTTTCGAAGCACGAGAACGCGGCCACTCTTGGCCTGGACCGCTGGTGGAGGGTCACATCGCAGGTCACCGGTAGGCCCTAACTTCGGCTTCCCTCTTATCCTCTTATCCTGCTCCTCGCGGCACAGGATGTGCTCCACCATTGAAAAGAAGGTCTGTGCGCCACGGATTGAAGCGGATAAGAGCTGGTCGTGCCTCCTGCGATCCTGGTCCCGACGAGTGGGGTCAGTGCCTGTCCTGAGGGGGGAGGCAAGTGGCGCGGGGCTCCGCAAATTATGTATTCCGAATATCACTTTAATTATAAAATATAGTCATAATAATGTTGTCCCGGTAGTTTCCAAATTTAGAAATTTAGTCCCAGATTTCGATCAGGGTGCTGACAGTACTAGCACTCTGCATTTGGAGTGCGCCTCATGTGACACAGTCAGTGCCTGAAGCACCCGTGACCCCGTGGAGCCTGGGTGACGTACGTGAAAGGTGAGGTCTTTCGGACGTCTTGTCGCCCGTCTCTTCTGGTCCGGCAGTATCCTGCGTATCCAGGCGGCATTGTTTGTGTGGCCCTACCTGCTAGCCCAAGCGTTAAGCACGGTGTCGTGCTCAACTCTCCGGACCTCCGAAGCCGTCTCAGTTATGTCCGGGTCGCTCATCATCATCCGAATCCTCTTCCTCTCGAGGGCGATGGGGTTTACAGGAGGAATTCTAGCAAAGAAATAGGGCCGCGTCGACGGAGACGGCGCGGTTGGATCGCGTAACCATAAGTACCGCATCTACCGCCGCGGCGTGTCCGTACACGCCGGCGTCACTGTAGGACACTCTGTATATTATATACCAGTAAATAGTAGTGCATAATCGCAACTCACTTAAACTATGAGAAATGGTGAAAGTAAAACAGTCCTCTGACTGATTTTGAAAAAAAAAAAAACACTATGGTCTTTAATTAAAATGAAGGAGTATCGGGACTTGCGGGATTCGTACCGATATGTCTAGAATGGTACAAAGTTATGGTACTCCTCAACAATTTAATGTCACTGATTAGCCTCCATTATGCGCTATTATTGTATAGTGTAATTACACTATACAGTACCTAATTGACTTGCAATCATAAATATACTTTAACCCACTTCCCCACGGAAAAACATCGTTTCTACACCGCTGTTTATGCGTACGCGTAAACATAATATACCTACACAGTATGTCAGTATACGTACACATAATAATTTAAATCCCTCTAAAACATTATTAAACATGACCGAGTGAAAGTTGAAAATAATATCATAATATAATACGGGGTATACAGGTATAAATTCGATTTTGAACATTTTGATATGGGTAAGTACTTATTAAAAATTATTATTATCGGCGTAATAATTGATTGTATACATTTTGGTACGGTGGCTAAACAAATGAATAATAGAAAAACACACGGACACCGAACCTTGGGTGGGACATTGTTCGGGTGCACGGGATACAAGGCCACAATAATATAGTCGGTATTTCATTATATATATATGTATTGCAGTAATAATAATTTATTGAAAACAATGATAAATCGTAATATTCGAATTCGATGATACGCCATAATAGATATTACGTTCAACGATCGGGCACGTAGTGGAGTAGACTATACACACTGTACGTTACGATTATTATATTATTTTATCATCGGTCTCGTAGGTGTATAGTTATAATAGAGTTGACAATATTTCAATTTAAAAAATGTAATTACTGCGTAGCAATGTAATTATTATTTCGTTGCACACGTTAATATTATTTTCATTCTTGAGTAGGTATAACTGTTATTAACATATTACATTAAGTTTGCATACCTAACCTAACAGCGATGGTAGATATTAATATAAAATAACTCGTGCACTATACCAATAAAAAAATTCATCTATACCAGCGAAATTTATACTTAAAACAAAATATATATATATGCATTTTAATAATATCGGTGTACAATATTATTATTCTACTTAGATAATATCACGCGATTCGGTGGACATTTTAACCAGTAGAATAGTAAACTCGACGACACGAATCACAAATGTCGTGCGGGGGAACGTACTTGTCGCCTTGTAGACAATATTTTCCAAATAACTGGGCGACTCGCAGTTTTTTTATATAATCGTGCTAACATGTGGAAATATTAAAAACTTAAGAGAGTTTATCGAAATAGGTCATTACAGAAATGTAGACGTATTACGTAATTACTATTTTTCTTTCAACTCACATTCCTTCTTTAAAACGTTTAAAAAAAAAAAAAAATGTGTGACACTGTATTGTATAAAATTATAATTTATGTTAATGGTTTAACTATAGATATTATATTTAGATGAAAGTATCTATTGTAATGTTGTTCAGAGTTTATTAAAATTATGGAGGAGTTCAGTTATTATTACTTACTAATTTATAATAAAAAATTATTTCAATGTTTTATTATACATAGGTGTTTCTACTAGTGGCGGATTTAGATCTTTACCTAGAAGGGGAGAGGTAATATTTTTAAATATATATATACAGGGTGATTCACTAAGCGTGCTCACCGCATCTTTTTGGTTAAATTTTCCATACATTCAAATTTTTATTTTTGAAATTTTTAAGTGTAGTTAAAGCCAATATTTTCGAATACTTAGATTTTTCACAACATTTAAAGAGTATACTGTGGTGATACCAACTTTGGTTTTTCAAATAAGAACTTGTATACAAATTCCATAAATAGACGGAGTATTACATTAAATACATTTTAGTATCAACATTTTTGATTCCCGTCAACCCGTCGACGCGATATTTCACTTTTAAGGTTAGGTAGTGGAATAATACTAATAAAACGCCACGGACCGTGTTATCACACAAATGATGCTCTTCTACTCTCTCCGAACCCAAACTTAAAAATTAAATATCTCGTCAACGGTTTGACGGAAATCAAAAATGTTAACCCCAAAATTGATTTAAAGTAATACTCCGTTTATTTATTGCATTTTTAATATATGTTTCCGTTTGAAAATAAAACGTAGATAGTGGTTTTACAACCAAAAATAACATAAATATACAATTGAAGAGCAGATTTTTCCTTAAATGTTCTAGAAAACAAATTCCGGGAAAAGTTAATACTTTCCGAGATAAAGAGTGTGCCCATTTAAATGGGGCACCTGGTATTCGAAAACGTATAATAAAATTAACTAATCAAAAATAATGTGTTAGAAATGACTTAAATTTTAACATAATAATTAAAATTATTTTTAACGTTAAATGTTGTGAAAAACCTAAACGTTTAAAATACGGACTTTACATAACTATACTTACAAATTCCGAAAATCAGAATTTAAATATATGTGAAATTTAACCAAAAAAAAATGGGGTGAACACGCTTAGTGAATCACTCTGTACACATCGTGTCCATATATAATTAGAAAAAAGTATTTACGCGTGCAGTTAATACAAAATGTCTGGGGGGGCCCCCTAAACGTCGCCTCTGGTTACTATGTCATCGGTATGTTAAACTATGGTATGTTTTTTTTCTTTTTTAGATTCTGAATGCAACGGTTATTTTTCTTTGTAGTCTATGGACGGCAGCTAGCTGCTATTGCCGCCGTTACCGACCCGCATCATGGGATCCTGGTACACAGATCGCGGTTTCGATGACGTCTTCGTCGCAGGCTCCTCCCCGGTGGCGTGGCCTAGCCTAACCAACGTCAAAGGCTGTGCCGCCGACATAACCAAACAATAGAACAGCAGATTAAATCCAACGTGCGAATATTTACCCCAGAATCTAACCTCAGTGAAATTATGCCTCCTAAATGACATTGTTAAAAAATGTGATAATTTATAAAATACAAATATTATTAGAATGGTAATCACGCAAAAAATGAGTGTAGTATGTAGTGTGTTGGTATTGTGAGCCGCGCGTGACCTACTTTTTATGTGTTTGAAAAATGGATGAAAAATTGGATTTTTAAAAGAAATATTTTTAGACGTTGGACATACGCGTATGACATCGAGAGTCAAGATGTGTTCACTGATTTAAAGAATTTTTTCAGCTCTGTATTCCGTCCACTACGAATGTTTTACGCGGGGTAATAATTAAAACAAAAACAAAAATTATCGTGTTACTCCCCCCCCCTGCCCTTCACGAACCTGCAATCAAGCTAATCTATGTATGGTCTGTTGAAACAAAAATCGGTTCGAGTCGTATAAATCCATACATTATAATATTTTATAAGTATACCTACTTATTATGAACATTATTAACAATCTAAAATACGACAGATAATAATTACCTGTAATAATATGTAAGTACCTATCTATCTAATATAATATTTCAAAAGAACACGTATCACATTGATTTAATGATTTTTATTGGCACTGGTAGTTATGGTAAATTATGAAACAAATTTAAGTGCAATAAAAATAAAAATACCTCAACTTTAAGTAGTTACCTACCTATATTGTTTTATGGACCTTTTTAGTATAATTTTAATATGGATAGGTAAAACTAATTTAAATAATATAATGTATATACAGCTAACAACCGTTTAGCAAATTTCCATACAAATGCATTGTATTAGTTTTTACTAATAAGTATGTATATGTAACTAAAGATACAAATATTTTAAAAATTATTCAAAAAAAAAAAAAAAAAAACTATAATTACTCATCATTATTAGTGTGAAAAAAAAATTAACGCAACATCATCTATACTCCAATTACGCCTATACTAAGTATACATAATGTAGATATTCAAAATTCTGTTCTATATAATATTATAAAAGATCCGCGGAAAAACATAAATGCCGAGAACGAACCAATAAATTAGCATATTATTATACAGAGATGGAACTCCTATATATTATTAGGACGCAAGCTACGAGTAGATCGATTTAAATTTCACGATAAATATTGTAAGTAATAATAAATAGACATGAATAAATGAGGTACGCAAGTTGTATTTACATAATAGATGTTCTTACACTTACGCATTATGTGCAGTTTTGTAAAGTATTCGAATAAATGCATTCAAATAAAAATATTTTAATAAGCTTAATAGGCAGTGGCTTATTATCAAATTTTATGTGGGTTGGAGGTTTAAAATTTATTGAAATAATGGTGATTTTTTTATCATGAATCAGTTCTTATCTCGGAAGATCTTAAGTGAATTTAATTTATATTTTTTCTAATCCCTGTACAATTGTTTAAGCTTTATTTTAAAACCAATTTTAATTTTTTTTTTTATTCAATAAATTGTATATTTACTTTTAAATGATAATCGATAACTCTATCCTACTCTTCCAGTCTAATCTTTAAACTGTTATAATTCGGTTAAATAAACGGTAAATCTGATATTAGTGTTATGTGTATCAAAATTTCTAGAAAAATATACTTTGCTCGATTCTGTGTTCAAAAAGTGGGAGAGGGTTTTCATTTGAAAAACAAAAATATATTCTTATGTAAGATATATGAAATAAGGGTGAAAAATTAAAAATAGATAAATGGTTATTAAAGCTTAACCAATTCTACAAAGATTAAAAAAAAAAATAGAAATCAAATTCACATAAAAATCTTCCGAGATAATTACTGGTTCATGATTAAAAAAATCACCCTGTATAAATTAATGTTCTCTTTCTCTAAACCTTCGTATAAGTAATTTATGATTTTTGAACCAAATTTTTCTTTCAGAGGGGGGATCGAGAACCTGGAAGCCCCCCTCAAAAATACGCCACTGATAGGTATAGGTACTTTTTTTTGCATTCGAACACTATTTTAATTTTAAATACTTTCGGAATACTTTCGAATACGTATTCTGAATATTTTTTTTAAAATTTGTATTCGCTAAAAAATTACTATTCTTCTGAAATCAGTAATAATAATTTTAAATTCGTATAATCTGTTGTTAGAACTGTCGTCCTAAATATGACAAATAAGCCAAAAAGATATTTGATAAGTATTTTCAAATACTTTTTGAAATATTCGAATATAAATTATCTATGATTATATTTTCTGAATTTACTCGAATGGGTAATATCAAATACAAAATAAAAGTATTATTTACAAGACCGTAAGTATATTTGCTTATTCTTAAATCACCCACACCTACTCTATGTTTTATAACTATAGCTCGGAAATTATAGGAGCTAAAAAAGGCTAAATATGTATGCAAATATGCACGAAAAAGTTCTAAAATATACATGAAAAAGTGATAGATAGGCAAAAAATATAATAAATATGCAACCAATTATTCAATTTATTATTCGAAAATATAGAATATGTCTTTATTATTATGCACAAAAAAGATGAAGATTAAATATGAATCGCACCGTAGTCGTTAAATTAAAAATAAAATGAGATGGTAAGAAATAAAAATAAACAACTACGTTAAATAGTATTGTGTTTTAAATTGAATACTTTAGATTCTGAGTGGAGCGAAGAAGCTTATGGTTTTACAAAAATATTTATTATTTTTTTATCTGTGTGCAACTTTTGTACCAGAAGACTTACTCGGATTTTTACGTATAACACCTTTTCTGAAAGATAATCGGCATGGGTACTCTATGAAGGTCATTTTTCGATTTTCTTAAGAGTTTTCTTATCAAATAAGAAAAACGGGGAAATTTACGAAATTTAGGGATTAGTTAAAATATATTACAGCCTTTGTAATTGTTAATTTTAGTTATAAAATACTAAAAACTTTGTAGGTTTTAAATTTTTCAGTTATCATTAATACTTGCTGTAGAAATTAAATAAAAATCTGGATTTTTTAATAATATCAATAAAAGTTCAATTATTTCTAGAATTTTCTTATCAATAAGTGTTCATTAACTAAAGTGAAGCAAACAAATAGAGCACTTCTGATCCGGATTTTGACACGACCGTTCTCGTCCGGAGAATAGTGCTAAAAAATCATAGTAAACGGTTATGTTATAATACATTTTATTGTTCTAATATTAATTAAAATCCATAACCTCATAAAAAATATTCATTAATTCTTTGTAAACGCAGATAAGTAAATATAGGTAATTTAGCTTATAATAAGTAATTTAAAATTATATACAAAGACCTTCTCTCATTACGGCCTACAGATTGGTTTTATACTTTTATGGACGTTCCTGTAATTATGTTAACAAACCTAATAGGTATTTGAATATTAAAATTTAAAGCAGGAATACGAATATGAATGAGCAAAGCAACGGTAAATTTTCAGACAAATCGACCTGATTCAAATGTTTGGATCCTATAGAGTGACTAGACGTCCTTTTTTACAATAACTTGTCTTCTTTTTATAGATGTCCTCGTTTATATGGGATTTTTTTTAAAAAAAATCAAAATGTCCTCCTTTTTATATGTATTTTGTTTTTCTATATTATAGGTTCACCTTGCTAGGGTAGGCAAGTAAATAAATTCTGATTATGAGTGATAATGCGATATTGTAATAAGATTTATAAGAAATTTGCCTATTACTATTATTAGAACCATTCAAAAATAGAATATTTTATGAATTATAAAAACCATAAAATCTTATTAGTTATAACACAAGATATAAAGTTGTTTTTATATAAATTAAACTTATATAATTATGTAAACATGTATATTAATTATTAATATATTATAATAATTTATTTATATTTGTATATTATATATATTATTATAATTGTATAACTTTATATAAGTAAACTTTTTATATAAATTATTTATCAATACTTTCCTATGATATAATGTAACCATGTTTATAGTACTTTAAGTGCTTATCACAAAATTAAAGTGAACCGCAATGATATACTGTCAATAGATGTATTATATAGTAGTTAGGTACTTTTATAGTTAGCAAGGTACACCTTGGTAGTTTTATGACTTTTTATGCTGATATGCTATCTATTGTGTTTTAATCAGAAAACTGAGTGTAATAACTAATAGTGAAAAATTCACGAGTGTTTTATAGTAATAATTTTAGTGTACCTTTAAAATATAATATGATTACATAAACAGTTGTATAATACCGGTTGTGAGTAGTGAGTTTCAATAAAGGTACAATAATTTGTAAAAATATCTTCTTTTTTTATAAGATACATCTAGTTACCCTGCATCCCTATTGAAAAACTGAAATGACGCCCCTGAGTCCTGTCCAACTCTGGATATCTATAATGGTTAAAATCATCAACAGTCATTTAATAATTTATATTCGTTTATATAAGACAGTATTATATCTCAATGTTTGTAAATGTAATCAGTAGTGTATGCAATCACCAATAATTACATATTTACCTATACCCCCATCTATTTTTACTACCTACTCCCCATACTTTATTTAACGTAAATATTATCAAAATATTATAACATAGTATCAACCCATGGAAAAGAAAATCCTTGTCATGTGCCCTGACTAATAACTGACTGAAATGTATTCACATTTTCAAAAAATCGTAGAAATCGTAGAAAATAAAAAACCATAATTTAATAAAAGTTTCAACTATCAAACATTTTTTGAAAATCTATTTTACAAGATTAGCTTTTTTGAATTTTTTTAAAAAATTATGGTACAATTTTTAATTTTAATTCCCCCTCTCCTAAAAAAAAAAATATTTTTATATAAACTGTAGTGCAGAGACATACTAATTGTTTAAAAAAAAAATATTGAATAGAACGAAAGTTATTACTTGTCGAATCCTCGTGGAATACTCTGTATATATATATATATATATTAGTAATACTTATAACGAACGGCCGATCTTACATGTCAATTCAAAACCACAAAATAATAGGCAGATAATATTTAATATAACAGAATAATAAAACTATACAAATCTATATACTCACTTGGCTAAGTAGTTGTAGCTTTTGCCCCTTAAAATATAAGGTAGCAACTACAAAAAAAAAATAGGTAAGTTCGTACTGTTTTATATTTAGTACTATGTACTATAATAATATATCTATAATATTAACAGTGACGAACTTTAGCAATTATTATGTGGCGTAAACTACTTTTCGATTTTGTCCGTATAAATATTAGATTTAGCATTGGTAGGTACCTAGGTAGTTAACTTTTAATCGGTTCGATAACCACTTTCAAAACAATATTTATAACTGATGGTCTACGGCCAGAAGTGAAATAGGTAGTAAATATCATGAAGAAGAATGATAATAGATATTATTTTAAGTGAATAAAATTACATTGTACAAGTACGGCGCAACGATGATACGGTATAATAATAATAATATTGTGTACCTATTGGATTAAATGAGTTCGGGTGGCGGGTGCACGGTCGTTATCAGTTACCACTTTTGTACCAATAATCGACGTGATATTGATTACATTTTAATTGCGTTCAATTCCCCGGTAAAACAAACACGCATTACCAGAGACGAATAACGAAGAATAGAGGACAGAGAGAAAATCATTATTTTATCATTATAATATTATAAATTGTTACGACAACACGGTCTGTTACGGCGATAAACGAGAATATTGCGCGCGCCGCGGCACCGGGATTATTGGAGCCGGTCGGTCAGGCGACACTGTACGCGGTGCGTGCGCACTACGCGCTCCGCCGCCGCCGCAGTTGCGCATCTCCGAACTCCTCGCGAGAGTGGCGGCGCAGAGCGGACGACGACGTCGACACTCGATGAGCGTGGCACGACGCAGGTCCGCACCGCACTACGATTACAGTCATTCATCAAATCCCGTTGGTCGCGACTTTGAGCGGGCGCGCGCGCGTGTGTGTGTGTGAGAGAGTGTATGCGCGTGAAGCGTGCGTGCGTGCGTGTGTGCGTTTGTTGTGTGTGATTGTCGGTGTTTGTTGTGTGTATAATATTTTCGTTTTCCCCACCACCCGCGCACCGCGGGAAACGAGAAAAATGGTGTTCGTGTATCGGATTGCGCGCAGCGGCATCAACGGTAGTGCCGTTCGACAGTCGCGGCGGTTCCAAACGAAATGATTTCCCGCGATCGTCCGTCGCGCAGGTCGTCGTCCTACCCGTCGCCGAGCAGAGCCGTAGTCGCTGCGCCGCCGTGATCCGTGGACGCGTGTGCGCGAAAACTTTTCGTTAACCGGTTGGCAGCCGGCGTGTGATGTTGTTGTCGCCGAGTCGTCACTCAGCGTAAGCCGTCAGCAGAGTCGCTCCGTTCCGGCAGTGGAAAAATGGCCGAGCATCATCAGGTGAGTTCATTCAACCCGTCCGCGTCAAAAGCCCCTTCGCCGCCGCGTCGCGCACCTCGATTAATAAATACCTACCGTTCCGTCGCACCGCCGTCGTCGCGTACGGTCCGGGGAACACTATTTCGCCGTAGTAGCCGGCGAACAAAGCTCGACGACAACGTTTTCGCGTTCCGTTTTTATCTCGCGAACCGCAATGTTGTCAACGACTACTGCGACGACGACGACGACGACGACGACGACGACAACAACAACAACAACAACAACAACAACAACAATAACAATTCGGCCGCCTATACTGTTAACGCTTATGCGTATCGCGTTCGGACATCGGCGTGTATTTCGTCGTTTTGTATGTGCGCGCGCGCGTCCGAGTCTGTGCGACTGTGGTTCATGCGCAACAATTCGCTTCAAGGTTGTGAAGCGGGTATTTTTGAGCTCGCGTTTTCCGCCCGTACCTGTAGTTTGAACGCCGCGCACTTGTCGCCACCGCACTCCGCGCGCGTACACACACACACACACACACACACACACACCACCACTCGGCGGCTGTAAATAATTATCGGTCTCTGACGTGTACGTCATTATATTATCCGATCGCTATTGCCACTAATTGGGTTTGCCCGGCATTGTTTTTATAACGCGTGTTGTTCCCCCACCCCGCGACAATAGTTCTACGTACGTACTATAATTATAACGGACGAAAACGGCGACTCGGTTTTACACCGGCAGTTCCCCGAGGGGCTAATGGTGTTTCCGAGTTTAATTCTATAAGGACAAACAAAAAAAAAAAAAAAAAATCATAAAAAAAATCTGTCGCTTAAACGCCGTCGGCTCAATACCGGAAAGTTCTGTTGTATTAGTCTCGTTAGACGTTTTTTTCACTCGAGTTTTCAGCGTCAGTAAGTTGACTTTCATCTCTCGATACTAATTAACTACTACTAACTGACTCGATTCTCCAATCGAACAACATCAAGTCAAGACGCATCCAGTATTTTGTTCATTACAGTAAAAGTAAACAAGAAAACGGCGTCCTCTTTATATTGGTATCAATGATCACTGGTACCCCCAAGTTACAAGTTTTCAAAGTTAGTTCAAAAACATCTTTGGTGCGTGATAATTGTTTTAAGGAGTAGGCTATACGTGCAGTGACAGTGGCGTGTTTAGGGGACGAAAACTTCGAGCCCCCCTCTCCGGTACGTGTTTATTGTGCGTGATAACAACCATTCCACCCTTGTTGTATTGTATAAATATAATACGGTATGATTTGTACGATTCACGAACGGAAATAACAATAATAGTGTATACTCGTCTGTTTCCTTCGTTATGTAAGGCCGAACGATTAAGTCTTCTATAAACAATAAACTCCGTATCACCTCTTTTTATCACGATATAAAAGTAAACCGCGATTAAATTGATAACACGTATGACCGTCGATCATAATATTATAATATACGTATTAATTCGTGTAATTCTATGGGTATAAAATACGGTTCTGTCTCATTTTCGACGTAAATATGTGCCGTTCGGATGTAAACTAATTTTAATTGATTATAGATTTTCATCGCGGTGAAGAATGCGACGGGCTTTATACGTTTTATTGACATGTATGTACCTATTTTTATATATCTGTAAACAACTTTACCACTAGAAATTATGCTGTAATCAAACGTTTCATAGGTACTCGTAGCGTTTTTGATACATTTTGTCAAACATTTTTCTTTTAATATTCCTTGTAGCTTTCTTAATTAGTGGAAGCAACTTTGTACTTTGTCACATAATTTTTGTTGCTTTCTATGTTAACTCTGTTCAGAATCGTAGTAAGACAAGAAGATATATACTTGTGTTTTTATTTAACAAGATTAGACCAAATCACAATGTTTAAACACACGAGTATAAAAGCTCACTCTGTGATAATTAAAAAATATAAACACCTATCATCATTTCTTGAGAAAATAAAATTGTCTAGATGAGCCACCAAAATCAACTCGCTCGCATAATAATATGCTAAATATGCTAAACTATTCCTGGTTCAGTGTTTTTACATGTAAACTTTGAATAAATATCTATTTATATTAATAATAGCTAAATAATATTATTACCTAGGTACCTATTAATATGACCAGAAATATAATAACTACACATGAAATGTTAATTCTTTACTTTTATTTTTTTGATATGATTTGGTATGCCATAGATAAAGTTAACAATACCTACTAGAATACCTATCTTACTTAGCCTAGTACCTAATAATAACTATTATCATTTATATCAATGTTAGTACTTTTAAATTACTAATTTTTGTGTATAGGGTATATTTTTGCAAATATCATACATGCTAAAAATTCATTATTAGGTACCTTGATGCCGCTATTATTTCTGGACTCTGGTATCTAATTCATTTGTTAATTATTTTGATATTTTTCTTATTGTAGGTATTATAATATCTTTCAAGAGGGTATATCAGGCGCTAGATCAGGAATGTACTGGCCCACCGAGTTTTATGACAGCCAAAAATGATACAAAATAAATATAGTTGACCATTTAATAAGATATAAAATAATCTCACATAACAGAATGTTCGATTTGATTTCATATTTTTCTTTAGATAGCATTTATCTTGAACAAATTTACTAAATATTTCTTATAATTAATCACAGTTCATACTTAGTTTAAGTCTATAGTCTGTTTATAAATTTACATTTAGTAGGTACTCATTAAAAGTAAATATTAAGATAATTTATTAAAAATACCTAGATAAAAAATAAATAGTTTTGCTAAAAGAGATACAAAAAAAAAAAAAAAAAAAAAAAAACAAGATAATAAATATGAAAATATAAATTTGCAAAACAGTATTTTATTACTATTTAAAATTTAAATGTTATTTATTATTATAATGATGATATTTTCTATTAAAATATTTCTGGGGCTATAATAAATACTCAAATTCAGTAGTTCTTTAGATTTCTTACTGTTTTTAGAATAAGTTTACTAAAATTCCAAACAAGCTAAATTCTAAGTTTATTTGTATCATTTAAATTTCTATTAAAATTTATAAAGTGATATGTATTTATATTATTTGCAATATGAGTAAGTTAAATTTTGTTTTATCACTTTATCTAAGCCTTTGCCTTATCATATTATGATGTAGTTATCCTATATGTTTTGTATAATTTTGAATATTTATGATTATTTCAGATATCCAAGAATTTATATCTGTCATTATATTAGATAATATATTCCATTCTACTGTATGGGTTTTACTTTGGATTTTATATTTTGATTTTAACATTTTTTTTTTACGACATAATTAAATCTAGTTTGTCTTACGACATATGAGGGGCTAATTTGAAATTTTTCACCAGTTTTAAAAGAGATTAAGTTATGTTATAGAAAAACAAATTTGTTCCAAGATATTTTGTTGATAAATCATGGGCCACATATCTAACATATCTGGCCCACCCCTAAATATGCTATTGCCAATTTCGTTGTAAATCACTCAATTTAATAATAGATACCTATGTTGGTACAGAATTTCAAAAAATAAAAATGTTTCAACTAGTTTGTTAGATAATATTATAACCTCAAGCATATTTTTATTTTTGATAATACGTTAAAACCCCATTCTGGACTTAAAAATTAAAAATTAAATTTTGTTATGTTGTTGTATTGTTTACTGCTAAATAGACAAAGATAGTATTGTGGGTGTTTTAAAATTCAAATACTAGATTACGTACACATAGTTATATCATAATCTTTTCTTACTTCAACATAATATATTAATGCGTATTTATTTTTTTTTTATGTATAGTTATAATTAACGATAAATTGTTTTAATTTTAATTGTAAATGTAATAATAAATTACGTCATACATTATTATTTACTTTATAATTGTGCTGTTATTAAATATGTTATTTATATGCTCTAAACCCCTAAATAATAGATAACTAATACCAGAGTTAATATAATACATTTAATTTGTAAATTTTATATTCTTGAATATTTCTTTATTTAATGATTGATGACAAATAAAAATATTATCAAAAAATGTTTCAAGTTTATATTTATTTGCTACTTTTCTATCAATTGTATTACTTAATGAAGAAATAGGTAGTTAGGGTTAATAATGTTTTATTTAATTATCAGCTTTGAGGAATTATGTAGCTATTACCTGAGTATATGTTTAATAATAATACAATTTTACACCACTTTTTCCATAAGTAATTGTTTTTAGTAGTTTTACCTTTTAGTTAATAAAGAAATTGATCATCTGTTTTAAAATTGAATTTTTATTTCAATATTTCCAAAGATAAACAAATAATAATTTATGTTCTATAGGTTTAAAAAAAGAATACCTATTAATATTTATAATGTGAAGGAAGATGAACTTAATTATTTACATTTAAAAATAAAAAAAATTGGAAGTAGTTCAAAAACTATCTATACTAGTTGATGAAAAATAATGTGAATAGTAAATAATTAATATTTTCAATAAAATTATGATTTAATCTATGCGTAGAATTGGAAAAAAAACAAATTTTATAAGGGAATGTAGGAAATTTAAAATAGATCACAAAGAATATAGGTATTTAATAAATGTTTAAAACTGCTTTTATAATTATGGAAATTATATGCTAACCAATGTAGGATTAATCAGGACTTATTAGTCCTACTACTTATCAGTCCATTACTATTTTAATGATAAATTAATTTGTTTGGCATAAATTGAGATATTTAAAAAACAATAATTAGGAATCGTTTTCAAAATTTAAACTTGAAACTTAATATTGCTACAAGAACATCTTTTGATGAATCTAGTATCACATTTTCATGTATTTTTGAGAAGTCACAGGTAGAAAAAAAATTACATTTCTCAGTTCATTTAGTGTCTTACAGATACTTTTTTATTAGTTTTGTGGGTTCAAATTAAAATACTAAAATCGAGCATTGAGAATTGTGATAAATGTGGCCTGGATATACATTTCAGTTCTTCGGTCTGGATTTGGTTTCGGCTCCGCCTCTGCAAACAAGTACCTAGAAAACCGTTAGGTTTTGTAACTCGGTAATTTTTTACTCTCAATACAAGTTAAAACAATACACCAGATCCGAAAATAATTTTGAACACGGATTTAAACTTCTTATCATGCTATATTTGCCGTACGTCTGTCGTATTTCGCGCTTTTTTAATATTGTATTTTGTGTGCGCTCAGGAAATTATAATGGAAACATTTTGCAAATAATTATTATAATAATTTTTGAACAGTTTATTTTTCGCGGTTTTTTTTCTGAAATTTATCGAACGTATAGTTGAACCGAGACAATTTGTTACAGCGCCCAAGATCTCCTCTTGGGCATTGCCGAATGGGTTTAAAAAACGTTTACGAAAGCGTAATAATGTGCGGCGTGTGTTTAACACGTCGCGATGTTTCGATGAGAAAAACAAAACATATTTTACGAGTACACCTCGTATCTAATTGTTTCTTTCCGTTGGTAGATGCCGGGGCGCACCCTCTTTGAGAGCAGTAGTAGTCGTTTAACGACATTTCAAAATACATTACTCGGTATTAGTTATTGTTTGCGTTTGTAACGTATGTAATGAAATCGGGATTAAAAAATAAAAAAGATATACCCACGTGTTAGGAAGACGTTAGTTTATACCCGCGCATCCGCTGTGCCGGTCTCGGTCCGACTACCGGGGAGACACGCGAAAACAACGCTCAAGCAGAATATTGTGTGAAACCAGCTTGGTTTCGGTTTTAGAGCAAAAGTGCCCGCGATGAAATGTGCAGAGAACAATATTTCGGGGGGGGGGGAGATGGTGGTAGGGGAGAATGACTTGGGTGTTTTTTTTTTTATTTTGTTGAAATATGAACTATTAAAAAGTCACAGTTGTTTAAAAAAATAAGGTTTTTTTTTTATCTTTTATGTCGAGCCTGTATATTTTGAATAATTCAAAAGACACGCCTGCACGACAATGTCCCCTGACATACCGTTCTCTGTGCATTTCATAACAGGTACTCTTACACCGAAATCGTAATTAAGCTGGTTTTACTTATTCTGCGTAAGCAATTGATTTTGCGTGTTACCCGCGGTGTAGTCGTCGGACCCGAGACACAGTAGACGCGGCGGGCATAAATGCATAACGCCCTCTTAAGTGAGCACACGAGTTTTGCGCTATAAACGCGTAGATATTAATTTATTAGCGTTATAGACGATAATAAATTGTATTGTTTCGCAGAAGTATTTTCATTTCGAAAACCCAATTGACCCATTAAAATAATATTATGTTCCGCGATTATCCGTCGTCATTTTACGATAAGGCGAAGTGGAATTAACAACCATATTATGCGTACCCATTAGAATAATTAATTAAAAAACAAAAAACAAATACAATTCCAACCGAATAACGAGAAATCTTATCTAGCTGTCATTCATTTAATGTGTTTTTATCGCGGTTAACGTGATAATAATCGTAAGAATAAATTTTATTAACACTAAACCAGTTATTATTATTTTTTTTTTTCTATATAATAAATTTATATTTGAATATTGTAATAAGGATTTTTCAATCGGTGATGGGCAGGGACGGGGAAGCAAAATAAAAACTTTTAATTGCACGCTTGTCCGCCGTGAAACCTAAATAGTTTTCTCAGTTGTTGTGTGTACGTTTAAAAATATAATACCCGACGCCGCCCGCCTTTACGCGTTTGTTTATACTGATAACATTGGTGTAAAATCGGAGTTTAACTTGATATTACGGTATTGTTTTCAGGGCGAATACTCGTGCAACCCCACCCTATACGATTTGGGTTTTAAGTACGGTTTGGTAACAAACACTACCGATGGCGCGATGCCCGACCTATCCGCCATCGATGCTTTGACACCCGCGCAGTTGGACGAGCTGAAGGAAACCATTAGGCGGGAGATCCGACGCGAGCTCAAAATCAAAGAGGGCGCCGAGAAACTGCGCGAGGTCGTCACGGACCGCAAGTCGCTATCGGATGTCGCGGACATCGTGAAAAAATCGCACACCAAGCTGCTGGAGTTGCAAGTAGAACTACAGGAACTCGAGTCCCACATCATACTCAGCCACGGCGCGTCGTCGGGACAACAATCGTGCGCGGGCGTTTCGAACAATTCGTTTACGTCCGGCGTACACAAGATGCCCAGGGTCAATGGATCCGCGGATCGCCCTGTTTCAAGTAATTGATTACGTATTATTATCGTATTATTTTCAATTCGCGTAATAATACGCGAACGGAATACTTTTAGCGTGTTAAATACTGTTTATACCTCTAATGCAGTGGTTCTCAATCTTTATTGATTCACGTCGCCCTTATCGACAATAATCCAACACTGAGTTGCCCTACCAATGCGCAATCCATTGAAATTATAGGATATTCAAGGATCGTTGAAGAGTGAGTGATGATGAGAGAATGTTACGCTGTTCGGGAGGGTGTTAGTGGTTACATGACAACGACGGCAATAATACGATTTTATTTAAAAAAAAAAAAAAAAAATTTAAAGTCGTCTTATGTTTTTTCCTTTTCTCCGATGATTTCGTGTCATCTCTGCACTGCGACCATAACCCCATGTCACTCTGATCGAGAACCACTGCTCTAATGCGTTACTTTATATTATATTTTTAATATTAATGCTCTCGGGCGTACCGAGTATAAATGGGCGTAGAATTTTCAATTGACATTATTTTTGATTTACGAGGGGTTAAGGGAATATTTTTTTAGATTCTGAGTGTGTACATCTGGAATACTGCAGTGTAATAATTGCGGAAAAACGGGAAAATTCACGAAATGTATTAAAAGAACGAGTGTTTTCAATTTTGTTGTTTTGTTGTTATTTAGTTAAACATATTTGTTGAGAGAAATTTGGACAGAAAACTTATATTTGTCTTTTATAGACGTGGTATAATTTTCAAATCATTTTAGCCATTTTCGAGCCATTTATAAACATTAATTTTGCCTTTAAAAACCTCAAATCGAACTCTGTTCAAAATTGTTTTTCGTTAACAAAGATTAATTTTTGGGTACAGATATACATTAACCCTTAAAATTCCCCTGTAAATTCTACCTTCCCAACTTTTCATTTACAACAGTGGTACATCGTGCGAAATATGTTCGTCATCTTTTTTTTTTATTTATTAGGCATTATTTCTTTAGATTCTTTGTACACATTTAATTTTAAAACTTAAGTATTTAACGATCGGTTGGTAAAATTATTCTTCAATTTGTTCGTTTCGGTTATTCTCTATAAATATTTTGGGATGGGTTAGAATTTCCTTCCAGTTTTCAGTTTGTTATAATTACAAAATTTATGACTGGTGGCCACATTCGAAAATTACTAATTTCAAAACTTTTGTTTTTATTATATTACGTAAGAATAATCTCATATTTTATTATAGAAAAATTAGACGGGTAAAAGTAATTATGTTCAGCTTACCCACCAAAAGTTTTGTTCGGCTGGAACAGCCACTACTTTTTCATTGACTTATGATTTTCCAGAAAGCCTGGCTTGCTTTCGAGGATAAAAGTGATTATTAGTAATTCCTTTTTTCTGTCTTTTGGATAAAACATCTTCATTAGCCTACAGCAGAAGTTCCAGTTTAATATTAACATTTGGCAAGTCAGCTATTAGCGTTTTACTAAAATGTGTTTTTTTTTTTTCGAAATACTTTTAACGAGTGAAAAATGATCAGATTTTTTCAAATTATGGAATTTCCGCCTGGTGGTACTTTACTTGAAACACGTTTTCAAATGTTCAATATTTTGGTCTTTTTTTTCCTCGGAAAACACTTTTTCGGTTAGTAAAGACTACAAATTATTCGCATCGCACTTTAAAAGATGCGGATTTTTCGCCCGGTGATATTTTACCTGAAAGAAATTTCTAGATTCCCTGCACAATTATTCTATAAAATCTCAAAAACCGACGGCAAAATATGTCGACACAACCGTATATACTTGTTGATTTCTTCTGAGCTATAAGGGTAAAAAAACCTACTCCGCTCGGAACCTTTTTTTTTCTTTTTTCTTGTAATGATCCATCATTAGTTTCAGACTTTCAGCGTATAAATTAAATTACTCTGTAGAGTATACCACCTACCTTTAAAACTTCTCACCTACTACAGTGGCGTACCTATTATGCTAAGTGCAGCGTCCTGTCTTTTTATTGGACATTTAATATAATAAATATTAATAATCTCACGGATATTTATACTCTAGTAAGTTATTCGCCGGAGTAGACCGGTGTTGTAGTGCTGTTTAATTATTATCAAGAGACGCGTTCCCCACTTGAATCGACGAGTGCTCACCTACATTCGCCTATCTGCAAAATCGTGTCCGGTGATAACTAGGGGATTAAACATATTTTTTTTTATTTAATGTATTTAAAAAAAAAAAATCCTCTTCGTTTGTATCGCGTTGCGTGTAACTCTCCAAAGTAAAAATAATAAACTACTATAAAACGTAAACGATTGTCGGTATTTTAATGGTTTTTGATGACGATTACTACGGAAATACGAATTTGGTTTGCCGGTTAATACAAATAATCCGATTTTTTCACGCGATATTTTAAAATAGCATAGGTACTAGAGGTGCTTCGGATAGATTATTGTATGAACGAATCAGGTGGTGTCGATTATCGGCCTGGTAATAATATTTTAATTTTCACAAACACCGGGCGATCAGCCGAGTAATAACCGGCGGTTATCAATTTGCGCATCGTTTATTTACTTGTACATCGTTTGCGCATCAACGGCAATCCATCATATGTCATTTGCGCATCAATATATCGAACAAAAGGAAAAAAAAAAAAAACGTCCATTGTAGTGGCGTGACAATTATATTTGTTTTCGGACACATACATATGACTTCTATATTTTTCAGCGTTTTATTTTCCGTATACAAATATTTGTTTAAAAACGACAGTAGCTTTTCCACGTTTTTAATTGACAAATTATACATTCGCACAATAAACAATAATTATACAATTGATATATTGATACATTTTCGTTGACTCCACCGTTTTATAATTAAACGCCTGTACTGCAATAGGAGTAATGACTAATACGTAATATCAATTAGATCCAATTATATTATTTGATAATATGCGGTTGGATTTGGTCGTTGTGACTGTTATCGTCGTAATGGGTATATTTTGTGCATTATATTTTTAAAACAGAAATATCTAATCTATGGACCCATGTAATACATAAATTTGACCATAATATGTTCTTTGTAATCGATAAATTAAAAAATGATTAATATTGGACGTTCCGCAGAAAGTTAGGAAACAATTATAAGGACGTTATACCCGCATTTGCTGTGTTTCAGTCCAATTACCGGGTAACACGCAAAAACAATGCTTACGCAGAATAAATAAAACTAGCTTGATTTTGATTTTAGAGTAAAAGTACCCGTTATGAAATTTATAGCGAACAATATTTCCGAGGCAATTTTATCGGTGTTTTTTGAATTATAAACTATAAAAAAGTTAGTTATTTAAAAAAAAGAAAAGTTTTTGTACCTTTTATATCGAACTGTATGTTTTGAATAATAAAACAAACACTCCCTCCGACATATTGTTCGTTATAAATTTCATAATAGGTATTTTTACTCTAAAATCAAAATCAAGCTAGTTTTATTTATTCTGCGTGAGCATTGTTTTTGCGTGTTACCCGGTAGTTGGACTGGAACAGCGAATGCGGGTATAGCGGGTATAACGGACTCTTAACACAATAACATTGTGTACCTTTAGTATTTTCCGACTTATATTACCATTACATAATAGAACAGGCATTAGTTTAGTAGCTTTTTAAATTGATGAGGTATCAACGCATAGCCGCCGTAACTTGCTGGGTTGAGAGACATGAAATTTTTTTGCACAGAGTTTTTTTTGTCCCTTGTACAAACGTGAGCGAACACCGAGAAAAGGATTTTCAAAATTCAACCCATAACGCGTTTTTTAAAAATTCACACCCTTATGTGGCGAATGGGGTTTCCTAAAAGAGTTCAATTTCATTTTCGGTGAAATGTCCAATTCACTCGGCGAGTGCATACTTATACGGTTTATCTGAGATTAACAGACTGAAAAACCACCGGACCGATTTTTACGCGTTTTTTTTTTTTTTTGCTAAACGATCCGCGTGTCAGGTGCAGGTTTTTAGCTATTGAAATATTTTTTGATACGACCAGTAAATAATAAGTTATGGGCCTAAATTTTATATTTTCTGTGTAGTTTAGTTGCGCGTAGCGACAGCAAAGTATGGTCGGTCAGCTATTCCATATAAAATACGAGTATAATAGTTGAAATTTGTTATGTTTGTTAATTATACCAGTGTATACCAGCAGTAACGCATCCAAGGCCGCCTAAAAGGACATCAGCCCTTCCGCCATTGTCTGTGTCGTCATTGTCAAATTATCCATATACCTATTGTAATATATATATATATAAAAAAGTCCGATTCACGTTGGTTTTTTAAATTTGTATACGAATCTACAATTTTATTCCAATATGAATGAAACTTTGCACATTTTGACATTAAAAACAGAAGGAAGATCACTGTTTACTTTTAATCTTGAAATGCAACCGTTAAAGAGTTGCTGACATAGGTTTTTTGGTATTTTTGGAACGAAAATTAAATTTTTTTGTTTATTTACGGATTACATTGGCGATAGGTGAAAAAGAAAAAAAACCAGATATATTACACTTATTTAATTTTTCACGGACAAGGAAGTACTCTTTTTAAAAGATAAATAATGTTACTAGCAACGACTAGAAAAAACTTAGAGATGCTACACATGTTCGTCATCAAAATGCCCCGAAACCAATGTACTCCCAAGTTAAATAATTCAGATTCGAATGTAGGGATCATACACTAACAATATAACATTTTTTTAAATAATTATTTACACGTTTTTTTCCCCTAATTTTTCATTTTAATTAATTAATTTTCTTCTAATTTTCTAAAATATTAATTTTAAAACGTTTAATATAAACCATTTATTTTTAAAAATAATATCGTTATTGTCTTTTTTCCTTATGTTTGTTTTTTTCCTTGTCATTTTTTTTACCTGTTACCAAAAATATTTGCTCTGACATCTCTGGATTAAGTCCGCCACGTTTCGCTTCACGAGCTAATGAAAATGACCTGTCTGAATATACACTTGACGCAAGAGCAGACAAATGTCATTCCGTCAGTTACAGGCACTTAATTTTTATTTCGTTAAATTAGATAGTGAGCCTGGAATTGCGGCGGTTATTACGCCGGATAATGGATTATGGTATCGAGTATCCGGAACAATTCTAACATATTTTCTAAAAAATTTTCTTTATTTAATAAAAGGAAAACACTCGAGTTAAGTAAAAAATGCTCAGATTTTTTCACGTTGATCCAAACAGTTTTTCGAAATTGCTTTTAATTTTCCTGTAATGTAGTGGAGAAAACCGAAAAAGTTGATTTTTATTCAATATGCTACGTAGGTGTAGGTATTTTTTATTTTTTTATTAACGGAATGTAAACCGAAATATGAAAATTACAAAAAAAAAAAAAAAAAAAACGTAGTTTTTTAATAGGTATTGTATCTTAACAAGTCTTATAACATACCATGACATTTTTCAATTTTCACGGCGACCATTGAAATGATGACGCAACATAGTACAGTTTGATAACAGTTCTTTATTTTGAACCGTGTAAACAATATCATATGTTAATATAATATAATATATTATAATCGGTGGTGTTTCCGTAACGTTTAACACATACGCAGTATATATACACTCTCGGCATATGGTCGAAAAATCGCCAGCGTACTGCGTAAACTCCAAAATTGTTTTTCAAAAAATAAAAAAAAAATATCTAGTTTTAAAAATTTGTCTTGATATAATATTTTTTTAAATTTAATACAATTTGTATTATTTTTATTTTTTTTTTATTTTTTATTCTAATTATATTGAAGTATTTAACACCATCTATTGCGCTCTTATTATTTCTGAGTAATGACGCAATGACTACTAAAACCAATAGAGCTAGTCCAATGTTGTACATATTGTCAAAATCGGTACGCGATGATGATAGCCGCCGATCCACAGTACATATTATTATTATCATCACGAGCGGGTGCGCGGGAAAAAAAAGTCCGAGAACCCAGTCCGACCAAGTCGCGTATCGCATTGTCGGGCAGCAAACACGATATTATATTAATACGCGACGAGTACACGTACGATACCAACCCTGGACCCGTTTCAGATGCGTACTATAACGTTTTTCATTTGACGAGTCGCGCGCGTTTAATCAAAGCGAATTAAATTGACCGGAACGAGTATGCGTATAAATGTGTAGAAAAAAAAAAAATATATATATATATGTCCGTCTCGTTAAATACTACGAATTTCAATTTCAGTTCGTATTTAGAAGAAGAAAAAAAAAAAAAAACAACGACGACGACGTACGAGTGGCGTATTTCGTTTGATTCGCGGGGCCCGCGGTCGAATACGCCGCGTAAGGGTACCGTTTGGTTTCCAAGCTGCGACTTGCCCGGACGCAACGGCCGGCCGCCAACGGTCGCTCGATTATTAACTGATGAACACGAAACGCCTCGTCGTGCGGTCGACGTGCGCGTGCCCCAACGACAACGGTCGTGGCGTATTGACGATCGCATTGCTGCTCCGGAAGCGCGGCGCGGTCGCATTGCGGTTTTGTTCTGAACGCCGTATTTTTATCGTGCGGTTTTTTTTTTTTTTTCTTCTATGAACGCGAATTTGTTGTTCGTAAATCGTAAAACGTCGAACACTACACTACTCTGTTGTTCACTACGACTTCGCGCGCGAGAAACGCCGCCTTTAAAGAAGTATCCCTCGTCGCCGTACGCTCTTTGTGTTGAACGAAAAATAATTCGCCCGTTGGCTTCCTGTACGCATTTGAAGTGTATATTTATTTCCTTTTCTTCCGCCCCGTCTGATGAACGTACGGTCATTGTGTGATTGCCATTCGTAATTGCCCGTTCCGTTTTTAATGGTCTGTAACACGACAAATGCAAATGCAAAGAATTACGCGAGCGCCAAGAAGTGTCGAGCCGAACCGAAAACGAATGCCGGGCCGAAAGTCGGCCGCATTGTTCGGAAACCGCCGCCAGTGGTGCGCGCCGCGCTCAACGATCGGTCGTTGCGGCCGGCCGCCGCGGCTCGGAAACCGCACCTTATTTAATGCGTTCGATGGTATTGTGTAACGTTGCGTAATTGTCTGACGAACGGTGTCGCCGACAAAACCGTTTTTGTCGCCGGTTCAATGATAACGCCGTGCGTGCTGGTCTCTCGCGGCGTTTACGAGACGGGTACTGAGCGGTTCGGAGTGATAGCAATTAATGAAATGGGCGCGCGCGAACGAGTGTCCGATTCCGGTGTAAACATTACGGGGTGCTGACCTTAACCGCGGTGCGGCGGCGGCGGCGACGGCGACGACGACGACGACATTGCGAAAAAAAAAATTGTACAAACACCCGTGGTCGCGGTCATTTCTTTCTTTCTTTTTCTTCCGTTTGTTTGGCAATAATTATTTACAATACTGTCCGGAAACGCGACGGCTCGGTGATATTATTCTTATCGGAATCATTCACGTATTTATATTGTCGATCGTCGGTACAGTAAACGGTACACTCTAATGAATACAACAAACGGTTTTATCGGTGGCGATAATAACAACGATAACAATGTAACACGTGATACCGTACACCGTATTGATATTTTCGTGTAACGCGTTCGGCATAAAACTATAAATAATAATAATATCGGAATACGGAATAACGGTGTGTGGGGGGGGGGACGCGAGCATTACGCGAGCACGCCGGTATTATTCGCGCGAGTTATTTACGAACGGTAACGTCAAAATATTTTCTCGTTTTTGCGGTTTTAGGCGTTTATTTTTTTTTTTTAAATTTATTTATTTATATATTTTTTCCTCTTTTTTTTTTCCCCGCTGTTTGTCTCTCCATCGCGAGTCGCCGTTTTCGGCCGTTTAAATAATAATAATAATAATAATAATAATAATTAGGGCTCGGCAGGTGTATTATAATAGGAGTCGCGTGTTTTTTTTCTACACGCACTGAATTCATATTAGCGGACCAAGTTGGAAATACTTTCCATACGACGGAGAGTTTAAAATGCATATTTTGCGTGTTTCGTTAATTTCAGAGAACGAGTGCATATTTCGCATATTTCCGTGCGTATTTAATATTTAAAAAAAAAAAAAAAAATTTTTTTTTTCATTCTCAACCAATTTATTTTAAATAATAATATTAAATTTAATATTCAATACTGTTGAACGTAGTTATTCATTGTTATTTCTCACCGTCTCGGTCTGTTATTGATTTAATGACAACGGTGCGATTCGTATTTAATCTTTATCTTTTCTGCGCATATTAATAACGACACGACGTTATACGTTTTTTCAAATAATAAACTGAATAATTGTTTGCGGATCAAACGTTTTTTCATGCGTATTTTAGAATTTTTTTTTTCGTGCATATTCGCGTGCATACCAATGCCTTTTTTACCTCCCGCGACTTCCGAGCTCTAATAATAATAATAACAACAACAATAATAATAATACCACCGTTATCGCCGTCGTCATTGGGTATATTTTTATACCTATTGCGAAAGACTGCGGTCCCGCACGATTATTTTTTTCTATCGTGATCGGAAGCGAAGAGTTTCCGTCTTCGTGCCTTACGCACGTGAGGTATACAGTGTGTCGTCCCACCAATGTTCGACGGATATTTCTAGAGCTATTAATAATTAAATATCTTGCGTTTTTTTTTATCTCTATCGGTTTGTCGATTTGGAAAATAATAAAATTTCTATTTTCATCCCCAAAACGCAAACATCATAAAAAAAATTAATTTTTTATTCATTCACTTTACAACATTTTCAAAATAACCGTTTTGTAAATGACATTATTCTGAAAATATCAATTGTTTTCACATTTGTTTTCTAGAAATTAAAACGGGGCCGTTTTTACTAAGAAACTGTTCATCGGATACGAATGTGCGATACGTTAAAACATTATTACATTACAATGTTTAGATATTTTTTTTTTCTGTGTTTTTATAAAATGAAAATAAAAATTTAATTTTTTTCCAATTCGATGTCCCCCTCAAAGACGAATCGATTCGAAATAAAAAAAAAAAATTGAAAAATATTTAATATTAATAGCTCTAGAAAAATCCGTCGAACATGGTGGGACACGCTGTATTGGGAAATAGACGCGTTTATTTCCAGGGTCCCGATTGATCTGTAGGAAAGCGACACGAATATTTTGAAAGCAGATTTGAATTTGTCGCGAGTTCTTCTACTCTGGATCGACTTTGCCACATTTTCCGATTTTAATTTATCAACAAATTTAAAATATTCTTTTTTTTCTTTTTTTTTTTTTTTTAGAATTTAAGGAAATAAATGTATAAAGTGGGAAATTCCGGATCAATCGTCGGTGCGTTGTAATTAAAACACGTTTAAATATCCCCGTTTCTCACGCGTGTAAGACAAAGACAGAAACTGTCCGCGCTTTTTTCAAAGTCGTTCCTAACGCCCCGTCAGCAAAGCACCGCGGCGGAACACCGGGAACCCGATGTACTTTCCGGTGAAACATCGGTATATCTCGGTAGAAAACTAGCCCGGTCTCTAATTTCTAAACGCGCCCGTAACTTCCGGGGGCCGTCAATCGAAAATTCGGAACGTTCGGACGGATCGTTGTTGTTTTCGTACACGACCATTTTAGATAGCTCGACCGCTGCTACAATGCCCGCAACTCTGTTCCGACAAAAGCGGTGCCGGAAATCCTGACCCCAACTAACGTTCGGTGAATTTTCGTTTGGCGACGCAGAACAGGTGCGATTTCAACGGAACACCGTGTCCCGCGTACGTTTGCGAGTTGGCCAACAACAAGAATGGTTGAACAGAAATCCGTTATTATTATCTGTTACCGTTTCAGACTGTCGGGAACACGCGTCGTAAACGCATTGAGTTTACATTTTACCCGTTCGTTTTCCGTACACATCGTAGTGAAGGCGTATTATCATTAGCGTCTACGCGGGTGTCACAGCTAGTGTTGAAATTACGCGTAACGCGAGTTTTGTATTTTTACGGGCGAAATTTCGCGGATCGCGTAGATTGGGATGTTTTTCTTTGTTTATGACGCGTACGCGGAACGGCAATTGAGACCGATTTGCCCCCGTCCGTTTCAGAGTCCCGTTTCGTGCAGCAGCGTATTAGAATTTTTGGAAATAAATGTGAAATTCGGTGGTTTCGGTTTATAATTTCGAAAAAAAAAAAAGATCGTTTGCGAATGGCATACAAATATAATATATAAAAACAATAAAAATCAAAATTAATAAATTGTTAAAGACCAGGCCCGGCCGATCTCGCGAACACTACACGCCGAAATTTGAAATCCGATTTCAGAATTTTTTTTAATGTTTCCGTTTCGGTTTTTTTTTTTTTTTAAAAACAATTTTTTGTAATTTTCGCGGTAGTATCAAACATAGAAACGTGACTTTATTACGCGACCATTTATGTACGATTATACACTTGTTTCTACAAAAACTTAAATATCCGTTAGAACGAATCACTATTCTCGGAATCAAAATAACGTCTCGTAGATATGTACAAAACCATTAAGTTATGATGTTTAGGGTATTTGAATGTCCCGTTATTTCTCGGGCTGTTTTATAATAATTTTACAACCGGTTGGAAACCGACTGCCATTGTTATTTCGTTGAACTTTTCTGCGATTAAAATTATATAGTCTATGAGAAAATAAAAATCTAGCTCATTGTTAATGCAACAACAATAACATTTTACATTGTTCTGAGTTTTGGATTTCTCTTACACAGAGTTTTGTGCGTATGTATTTAATGACTTCGTGTTTATTTATAATAATTTACATAAATGTTTTTGCGTGTTTGGATATTAATATTTAGTAGTACAAAAATATTATAAAATAAAAATTATTCACAATCATATGTACAGTAGTTATTGCCTAAATCTCGAAACCATAATTCACCCTAACACAAATTTTAAATTCTCATAAAAAAAAAAAATAAAAAAAAAGTTTTCTTGAATTTTATTAAAATTATTGTATTGAAAATTATCAATTAAATTCATTTTTTTTTTTTTTTATCAATCCTAACATTATATTTATTGTATTATTATATACTATACTTATTTGTCTTATATAATGTTATAACATGTCCATGAAATTGGAATTCATATAGTAATTTGAAAATTCTAATAAATAAATATATTAATACATTTTAGGTTCTTTGCCTATGCAGTTTGTAGGCCAATCTTCAAAACAAGTCCAAGAGTCTAATTTTGTGAGTGACATTAGACTAATGCAACTTGAAAAACAACTCAATATAGAATTAAAGGTAAGAATTAAATATTGTTGGTTAAATATTCAGAATTTATAATTTGTATCTACATTTTTTTCAGGTCAAGCAAGGCGCTGAAAATATGATTCAAAGTTTGAGCAGTAATTCACGAGACAAAAAACTATTAGCTGATGCCCAACAAATGTTATCAGACTCCAAATTAAAAATTGAGTATTTAAAATTGGCTATTTTAAAAGGAAAGCAGACTAAGCAACAAAAGGAAGAAATGAAGTCCAGTAGTGAAAATAAAAATGGTTAGATACAGTTTAAATATTTTTATAGATATTTTTAGGACGCAAAATTATTTGGTATTGGCTGTTTTTCTGTAGTGGTGTATTTTCATAGAACCTGATAATATTATCAACTTCTAATTTTAAACCTGTTTTTATGTTCTTATTACTTTCGTGCCATTTTACTAATCCCTGAATGATACTTTTTTTTTTTTTGTGGTGTTGATGACGGACCGGAAACTACTGTAGCATTACTTCCGGTCCGCCAACATCGTCACTGAACAATACCTAGGTTTCTATGACTAATTGGTTATATTGAAATATTGTATTTGTTTTCATAGTTGATAATTGTATAAAACTATTTCAATATTGTAAATAATATAAATTAAACCAAATTTAAATCATAAAAACTATAAATACACATATGTTGAATATTTTAAATAATTTATAATATATTGTGTATTTATATTCATTAAGAATTGGTGAAATAATAAATTTAGTCAAGTATGGAAAATATTATGCTTTTGCATAATATGCTTCTAAAATCAGATAAGAAGATTTAATTTTGTGTCAATGAATAATTTTTTGTAGTTTAATACCACATGTTATCAGTGTGTATAATACATTTATTGTTTTAGCATTTTTGATCTCTAGCACTAAAAGTCAAATAGACACCTTTAAACAATTTAAAATATGTAAAAAAATATATATATATATATATATTTCAATTGTAATAATATTAGACAATCAATCTAATTGATAATATTTTTTACGTTTTTATCTTATATTTCTACCAAAAATACTATCGTTAGAAATAAAAATATTCATTGGAACTTAAAGCACGCTATAAAAATTAGTAAAAAAATGAAAGAAACAGGTTAAAATTGTGTAAAATGTGACAAAAAAAAAAAAAAATCAAAATATTATGTACTATAATGTTTTCAATTTTACAATTTTAATCTCAATATCATAAAACCTATAATGTGCTCTATTACATATTGTAATACGATCACCTAGAAGCAAATGCATACCAATCCTGGTTCTATTTTTAACTTAAGAATTAATAAATATTTTAAAACACTAAGAACCCAAATATTTATAATTTGTATGATATTTATATTTTAGAAAAGTCTGAATCACATTTGGAAACTCCATTAGAAGAACGCGTTGCAGAGTTACGGCATCGTTTACGAATTGAAGCTGCAGTTGTAGAAGGTGCCAAAAATGTTATTAGAACTTTACAGAGTTCCAAGGTGGCTGAAAAAAAAACTTTCCAAGAAGTAAGTATTTTTTAAAAGTATTTAGTTCATTTTCAAATAATGTTTTAATATAATATATATATAAAAACGAAAAAAAATGTCTTACAAATTAAAAAAAAAAAATTTAAATATGATTTGTTTAATATTTGGTTCATCAATAATAATAGGAACTGTATTAATTTACAAAGTATAGTATAATATAAAATATTACGAATCAAAATTATTAGCTTTTTTTACTAATCTACATAAATTATATTATTCCAAGAATTCCTTTTATTTTTTTTTTTCTTTATTATAACATAATTTATAATTATTAGTTTAAAATAAACATTTTTAATTAGAACTCACATTGTTAAAAATTAAGTTAGTTTCACAGGAAAATTATTATTTTTTTTTTTTCTAAGTTTCTAGGGTAGGTAATCATTGAATTGTTTAATCAAGATATCATTATTTTCCATTTTTTCAATGAGTGTTTTATTTTACTTTACAACAGCTATCCCATACCTAAGAATGGCTATTTGTTATTAAAAAGGTTATTTTATTAAAATTATTTTGTTGGGTCATGGGTCATTACCCATTTTGATAATGACCCATGTATTTCTATTTGGTAAACTCTAATTACTAAATAATTTATTTATGCAATTTTCTATATATAAAAATAAAAAATAAAATTTGTTTTCTAAAATATTCTGTTTATTTGTTATTAATGCATTTTTTTTTCATATTTTATTATTTTCCGAGTTTCCTCTGATCATTATATTTATAATTTTTGTAATATTATTCAAAACAAATATTTAATTTAAAGTACTTGCAAATTAGTTTTTTATAGATCAGTTTTACTTATAGACCTATTTGGATTTGCCCTAAAATATATTATTATACACAGTTTACTAATGTAAACAACTAAATTTAATAAATGATTATATTCTTTAACACGTGTAAAAATAATTCATATTCATATTACTATATTAGTTTATTGACTGAGTTGCAACATGAATTGTAATGAAATAAATGTTTCACAAAAATATTTTATATCTTATATTATAAAATAAAAGAATTATGTTGGTAATAATATGTTATTTAATTCTTTGTAAACATAATTATTGACCGTAAATGATAAATGATCACAAATAAAAAAAAAACAAAGCTGTAATCTAAATAATTATTATTTTCTGATAAATGTATTTTTATTATCATATGCAATTTATAAACTAAAATACTTAATAGTAAAATAAACAGAGTTATTATGAATTAAACTTGTTAGTGTTATACATTAAATAGGTTAGTTTTTTTTTCCTTTTTTTGATATATTGAAACTATCTATGAAGACTTAGGTATATTTGTATGTTGATTATCTTGAATCCAATCTAGATAAGTTTTTTTATTACATAATTAAAATAGTTAATTTTTCAAACAATTTGATTTCATGACATTTATAAAAAATATAATATATGTATATTTATAAGTTCTTACTTAAATAATAACTCCTTTTTGATATAAATGCAATTAATATCATTATTTCATTATTTACTTAGTGTATTTGTATGTGTTATTGTATTTATACATTAATAGTTTTTAATATAATTTTTTTTTTCTATAACGTTTGATTATTATTCAACAAATCTAAATATATATTTGCTAGGTTAGACTGTCATTTGTCATAATATACAAGTTTAATTCATTTAGCTGCAAAAAAATAAAAAATAAAATAAAGTTGAAATGCAACCTTGGTTAATTTTTGTTGTGATAAGTAATTACTTTTATTTTTTTTTCTTTGGATTCAATCCAATTTTTTCACATTTTTGTCACAGTTTTTAAAATTAAATAAAGGACACAAATTAAAAATATTTGCTAAAATAGTACAATTTATTTGATGTTTAAATATTATGCATAACTTAAAAAGTAGGTTAAAAACATTTGTTAAATAATTCTGATGTGTTTGGTTGATCAGTAGCGGTTTCACTACCAATAGAATAAGATCGATGTCTAGAATTAAAATACCTGCGACAGTTAAAACAAGAACAATCAGGATTCTTTGATGGCCCAACATGATGATCTTGTTTTGATGATATTCGAGTTTGTCCGAACTTTGATGCCATTTTAGCGACTTGATTATTTGCACAATTAGAATTTGTTGTCTGTTGTCTGTACATAGGTGATTGTGAACAATCACTGTAGCTTCCCATATCTTCATTCATGTTTTTCGATGTAGACCATGGGCGCCTTGCTAATATTTGATTTTTTTGTGAACTAATGCTATTAAAACTCCACGCTGTCTCTGAACATTCATCGTCTGAACTACTTGTTGTATCGTCATAATTTTTCGATTGATATTTTTGTCGCACATTTTCGAATTCGGAACTAGTTATACTACTATTGTCGAATGTAGTTGAATCCATAAATGAAGATAAATCACAACTAGACGACTCAAAGAAAGAAGAATCGGAAATTGTATTTTGGGTACTTATTGTAGATAGACATGGGCTTCTCTGTAACATACTTTGATTTGACATACTCAATTGACTTCTGGGAGAACGAGATTTTCTTGATATCTTTTTGCAGTTAATTTTTAAATCTGATAAATTGAGTAGTGTATCAGAAGACTTAGTTGTTAATGTATTATCTGAATCTGAAGATTCAGTACAATAAACATCAATGTGCACAGTTCTAGCGTGATGTTTTTTGTGTTTATCTAGTTCATATTTTCTATTTTTAAGAATGACTTTTGTATTTTCCTAAGAAAAAAAAAATTATTAGTAACTTACATTATTATTAGTTGTTAACTGTAAATAGGTACCTTTGTAAAAATCATTGATGTAGATGGGGAAGTTTGACTAGAGACATCCACAGTTTGTAAATGTTTTTTTGGCGGAACATTAGTACAAAAGTGTGCAGTAAAACTTTGTGCTCTTCTAGTTGCCATTGGACTTCTCATACCACAACATACTTCACATTGAGGTGTTGCATTGTAAGAAGTGCAATCATCACATGCTGATCCATAGGATGAACTTCCGAGGCCAGAATCTTGCCTATGAGGTGGTTGAGCTGTAAATACAATATTTCCTCGTTGAAATCCATAACACTGTTGCTGTTGAGATAACGATTGATCGTTATTAGGTCCTTGTTTCAATTTTAAATGTGCATGTATTGACCAATCGCGTATCAAATTTGGATTTTTATTGTCTGTATTGTTCATTTTGTTCATTTTATAAATCTCATTTAAATTTGTTGCATTACATTAAAAGTGTACCTTCGAATGCTGTGTTATATTAAATACTGGCCACTAAGATGAGTAAAAATTATCTTAATTCTCAGCTGAGAGTAGTTGTTTTGGCATAGTATCAAACTCAAACTATATACTGTTTAAAGTGTAAGACTGTCAGTAAAAATAAGTGGGGGGACTAGTGTTTTTCTAAGGTCATAATTTACAGTGAACAAATTAAAAATTCACCCACATACTGCATTCTGTTAACAGAACATTAACACAAATTAGATTTAAAAATCAATAATTTTGATAAGTTAATAATTTAGATAAAAATACATAATAAAATAATAATTATTAAATGAAATTTAGAGCCACAAGCACAAGAACACTTATTAACAAACAACTTTATAATTCTAAAAAATTTCCTGTTGCATTCTAACCTTAGATTAAAAGTTTGTAAATATTATAAATATATATATATATATATATATTATATAAAAGTTTTGTATACTAACATTAAATGTGTATGACGTTTATAATCAAAGTCAAATGAATGGTCTTGGTAGTATATCCTATCCAGAAAAGTAATGGCTTTACGCCAATTGAAGTGTGCTAAAAAGATGCAGTTTCTATTTCCAGATAGTATTATGTAACAGCTTGACAAAATATACTTTACTAATTTAATTTATTATTTTTTTTTTTTTTTGTATTTCATAAATATTTTAATGATACAAAACAGGGATGACTAATATGCATCTCATAAACTACATGCAATATATACTGTTTATTATATTATATGTGTATATTTTTTTTTCAATGGTTTGATATATTTACAAAAACAGATTAGTACCAACTATTTTAATGATATAAATATGCATATATTAGAATAATTTAATAATTGGTTAATGGTTAATCTCATAATCTGTTATTGTTATTTAATATATATATATATATATGATATTATAATGTATGTATATATATTTAATTATCACTGTGGTCCAAGAAAGAAGGACTTGAATGGTTTTTTTTTATTTTTTATTTTATATTTTAGAAAAATTAAAGATTGATATTTCTTTTATGTTATGGAAACATTTTTTTCTTTGAATCTTACTAGGAGCGTTGCTCTTAAAATCCTATTTTTCATATTTAATAATTAGCGAGTGAATTTTTTTTGTTTTTACTATTTAAATTATAAATAGTCAATCTAAAAAAAAAAATTATTATTATTGACCTTTTATTTCTATTTAATTTTATAATAGGCACAAGCAAATCTTTCAGAATCAAGTAGTAAATTGGATCTGCTACGACGATCGCTTGAACTCCGTCGTCAAGAGCTCCCAGCTAATTCTACAACAGCTGCTCAATTAATACGAGAGTTACAAAACGTTCAAGCTGCTAGTCCAACTCCAAATCATGCGTATGTTAGTTTACAGCCATTCCTAAAAGCAGAACGAAATGTGGTACCTGAAAAAGCCACTGTACCTAGATGTGCTGCGGTCACCGGTAAACTTGAAGTCAGGTTAGTATCTCAAATGAGTTACTATTACAGTTATATATTACCATTAATTAATGACATAAATTATTAATTGTGTTTATATAGATTAATGGGTTGTCAAGATTTGCTTGAAGAAGTTCCTGGTAGATCGAGACGTGAAAAAGATAATCCCGGGGACTTGAGATCTTTTGTAAAAGGGGTGACAGGACGTAGTTCTAGTAAATCATATAATATTAAAGACGAAATTAGTAGTAAGCAATGAATTACTACAAAAAATTTGTTTTATTTTATAATACATTTTTTAAATTTATTTATTTGTAGATGAAATCATGGCTGTTATTAAATTAGATAATCAAACAGTTGGTCAAACTAGTTGGAGACCATGTTCACAACAAGCATGGGATCAAAGGTAGTATAGTGTGATGTTTTTGTTAAAGTTTTATTATTGAAGAAAATATTTATTAAAATTCAACATTATTTTTTTAAACAATACTAAAAATTTTTTTAAACTTTCAACGATTAAACAATATTGATGATTTTTATTTTACATTTTCAAAATGCTATGATACTTTGAAATCAATTGAATAATCTGAAAATAATAAATAAAATAAAAAAAGTTATATTTTATGTACAATATTATTATTACTTGATTGTAATAATTTTAAAAATTTAAATGATTATATTCTCTTCAATTCACCATATAATCCAAATAATAAACTTGAATTATAAATTTATCAATAATCTATGATAATAGTCTATATAGCTATATTTTTAAATTGCTTTTAGATTTTCTATTGATTTGGACAAATCTCGAGAACTAGAGATTGGAGTGTATTGGAGAGACTGGCGATCATTGTGTGCTATTAAATTTCTTAGATTAGAGGAGTTTATTGATGATATTCGACACGGTATGGCTTTACAACTAGAACCACAGGGACTTTTGTTTGCAGAGGTAATTCTAATTTGTTTAGTTGTTAATGATTAAAATTAAGTTATGTATTATTACTTATCATATACCATAACTTGTGATTTCTTAACCTTCGGGCGGGCGCACTGTGATTTTTACACTGCAATCGTTTTCACTCACCTTAAAGTTTTTGAATACTTGTTGTCCAAACACATTAAAACTGTACCGACTGCTATTTTACATCTAAAAAAGTAAATAGAGAGTACCTATTAAAATAAATAAGGTAGGTACACGGACAAATTCTCCAAAAGTAAGGTTTAAATACTTTTTAGCACCTACTTGTAAGGTTAAATGAAATTACTATTAAAATAATTATAAAACTTATTTTAAAAAAATCACTGTATTGTTATAATTGTTGTTTTTCTTTTTAGATAACATTTTTGAACCCCATGATATCTCGCCAACCACGTCTAAGGCGTCAACGTAAGATATTCAAACAGCAAGCTAAAAACTTCCCCAGAGCCAATCAAATGAATGTAAATATAGCCGCTTGGGGTCGTCTTCTTAAAAGAACGTCACCTTCAATTCAAAATTCACCATTAGTTCCTGCACAGCAACATTCAAGATCACATTCTCACTCGGACAGTTCCACGGGTTTGCACATATTTTGAACTAGTAATAAATAATAATTATTGTTAACAAATCGTTTTTTAATTATTAATGCAGATGGAGGTGATGCAAGACTTGAAGAAAAGTGTACACCTGGTGAAACGCCTGAACCGAATCACACTTGTGGGTTGGCTAGTGCTCGCCCCTTAGGTTTAGGGGTTGCTGTTTTACCTCCATTACCACCCACTATCGCTGAGCAGCGAAATATATCTTCAGGATCTCCTACATTCCTACCCTCAACAGTTTTAGCTGCGAACAAAAGAATACCAGTCGTTCCAACTATACCACCTCCGAGGCCACCACGACAATTAGATCAAGAGGTGAGTATCATTACACTTTTGCTTATGCAAATCGTGTATAAATGTTTGCCACGAAGCTTTTTGAACATCATTGCACACAAGGGGGGTAAATTGTATGATATGTATAGCTGCAGAATGCGTTGAAGGAATTTGACTTTTTACACGACGACGAGGAACAACAAACATTACCGCCGGTCCATGCAAGACATGTAATGAAAATGTCTGTGAGCATAGAAAGTGTTGGAAGTTCAACTCTGGGAACACCGCAGCCGTCCCCTCTTGTAGAGTTTCCCCAGGACGAGGTACATTCTCTTCCTACACCACTGTGCTAGGCTTGTCTCTAACACGTGTGCGCATAACTGGTATATCATCCATATCTAACCGATTTTGTGCATGTACGATTTGGAGTAGACTTCATTGGTTTTTTTTTTTAATCTTAAAATTGATCACATATTTTAGCATCATAAAATAATAATATAAAAAAAACAAAAACTTTATACAAACTGAATTAATATTGATTTACAAAATTGAGTTTTATTCTTCTTAGAATGTTTAACCTTCATACTGCGCACCATTTTTCCAGATATCGTATTTAGTTGCACGGGGGTAAATATCTACTCCACAACAAATATTCATTTTTATATTATAATTTAAACTTCAAATTTATTTTTGTTGCTGGCAGTTTTTATTTATTTTAAGATTTAAATATCTTAGGACTGTATTATATTAGTTAGGACTGTAAATAAAGACTTTTGTATACTATTATTATTGTTTTCTGTAATAATAGGACTGTATTATAACATAACTGTACATAATATAATTTTGTTTATTTACTTTCATATTTATTCACATTACGTACTTATAGTAATATATAGAGGGATTCTTTAGTATACAGAATGAATCAAAAATACAAATGTTTATAAATTGTTTTCAACAGGAACATTTTTTTTTTTTTTTTTATTAATTTAAAAATAGTGTTATACTATAAAGTTTATACACTTTTTATTCCTGTAGGTATATTACATTTTTTTTTAGTATTTGTACATTATAAAATATTACACAGGTTTTCCTTTGAGAATAGGCAGTATATGAAAAATTATAATGATTTATACAACTTTTTACACTATTGATAGTACCAAATGTAAAAAGTAAAACGATACCATAAACAGTCTATTTATAGGTGTATTATTTGAAGCTATTGTGGGGGACAAACATCCATGTCTATTTTTTTTTTTTACAATGTAGATATGTCTCGTGCAATTATTTACTCCGTGCACCATATGAAGGGCTAATATCAACAAAAAATATATCACTAAATGCATATAATACAATTTAATTAAAGTTTGAATATTTTGGATGTTTAACTTTAAATTAAATAAAAAGTCAACAAACAAAATATGGTGTTTTCAGTGAAAAGAAAAGATAGATTTGAAAATGTTCTTGATAAAATTTTCAAAAAAAAGTAATAATCATGACAATTATACAATTTCAAATTCACTAAAAAATCTATTTATAAGTTCTTAACATTTTTTAAATACTCTTGTTGTGTACAGTGAATATATGCTTTTGAAATTACTTCTCAATGATGAAAAGAAAATGTAATAAATAAAAAAAAAAAACAGTAGTATAATTTGTTTATGAAAAGTGACATTTGGCAGGCTACTGTTTTGAATAAACCATTTTCGTCAGTTATATCAAATTGCATATAATTTCTCTAAAATCTGTTTTTAATTATTGATTAACAATAAAACATTTGGTTACAACTTTTTAAACATCTTCATAATCCCTCAAAGCTTTTAAAATAATAATATATAACATAAATCCTTTTTCGAGTTAAGTTGCATGTGTATTTCCACAGAGACATTAAGAATATTAACTCAGTATTATTCATTTTTCTTTTTAATAATAGGTAAATTTAATACAATAATACATTTTTAACTATTTATTATATTAGATATTTTAAATAAAAATACATTTGTTATTATAGGTTATTATTAATTCATTTTTTAACAAATAATAATTAAGTCTTATAACTACTTTGTGGAGGAGCTTTAGTATTTGTCTATTCTCTTACAAAAACATGCATGAGTAGTTAGTTATTAATTTTGTATAACATAAGTGTGTATTTTTTTTCAAATTGTAGATTGATCTTGAAATTAATTTTATTACACCATTTTATTAAAATTGATTTGTATCTTTTTAATTTACTACAAATATGTAATTTATAAACTACTTTAACAATCTAGAATGCAATTAGTTAGATTTAAATTTAGTTAATTACTATAGTACTATATATAATATATATAACAAATGGTTAAATCCTATATTTTTCTTAATTAATTATGTGTGGATGAAAATGATAATAAGATTCCATTTTTTAATATTTGTAGTTATTTAGTCATCCTGTTTCACGTGTACTCGATTACCGGGAAAATGACTCAAAAGGACATCATCTTGCGACACCTAATAATTTGCAATTGACGGAATCTAATAAAACCACATTGTCTAATGCATTCAGATTTTCGCAAATGTCAATGGACGATTTTAGACTTCTGAGCGTATTGGGTAGAGGCCATTTTGGAAAGGTAATAATAATTATTAGAAATAATTAGTACAAATAACTAATTTATGTTTTATTTGCTTTCCATTCATATTAGGTAATATTGTGTCAACACAGAAAGTCAAGCGAATATTTTGCCATAAAAGCACTGAAAAAAGGTGATATAATTGCTCGTGACGAAGTAGAGTCATTATTATCTGAAAAAAGGATATTCGAAGTGGCTAATGATATTCGCCACCCATTTTTAGTTAACTTATTCGCTTGCTTTCAAACAGACGTAAGTGCATTAATAATTATCTATTTATTTGTATTTGACAATTTTTTGGTTTATTATTTCCAGGCTCATGTATGTTTTGTAATGGAATATGCTGCTGGCGGTGATTTGATGATGCACATACACGCTGATGTGTTTACAGAACCAAGAGCAGTTTTCTATGCAGCATGTGTTGTATTAGGACTACAGTATTTACATGAAAACAGTATCATTTATCGGTTAGTACAATATTAAATAATTGTAGTCATTTTTATGTATGATGTTATTTATATGGTGCGTTTAATTATTTGTTAGTGACTTGAAATTAGACAACTTGTTATTGGACACTGATGGATATGTAAAAATAGCTGATTTTGGATTGTGCAAAGAAGGTATGGGATTTGGAGATCGGACCGGAACATTTTGCGGAACTCCCGAATTTTTGGCTCCTGAAGTTCTTACTGAAACTTCGTATACACGTAGTGTGGATTGGTGGGGCTTAGGAGTACTGATATTTGAAATGCTTGTTGGAGAGGTAAATATATTTTGAATATTACTGAGTAACATGACATAACTAATATATATTTTTATTACACATAGTCACCCTTCCCTGGTGATGATGAAGAAGAAGTGTTTGATTCTATAGTAAATGATGAAGTTCGATATCCTAGGTTCTTATCATTAGAAGCGATTGCAATCATGAGAAGAGTATATTATTTTTAATTTATATATTTATATTTGAGTAAACTACATATTTATAATAAAATATTTTATTATTTTTGTGGACATAGCTTTTACGTAAAAATCCAGAGCGTAGATTAGGTTCGAGTGAAAGAGATGCAGAAGATGTAAAAAAACAAGCATTTTTCAGACAAGTTGTTTGGGATGACTTGTTACAAAGAAAGGTTCAACCTCCATTTGTACCTACTGTTGTAAGCATCCTTAATATATCTATTTTTATATCTGATATTGGCTCTACATAATAAATTATACTAATACGAAAAAAATATAAATACAAATTTAGAATTCTGTAGAAGATGTGAGTAACTTTGATGAAGAATTTACTTCTGAGACACCACAATTAACACCACCTAAAGATCCAAGACTGTTAAACGATGATGAACAACAGTTATTTAAAGACTTTACGTATACAGCTGACTGGTTTTAAGAGAATAATTTAAAAAAGAAAAAAGGAAAAGTTACTTTTTCATTAATAAAATTGTATGTTAATAATCGATCAAATTATAATAGCTAGTTTTGTCCAATAAAAAAACAAATTAATTGAATATATTTTTATTTTTGCGATACTTTTACAGACATTTTCCAAATATAATTGTGATTTATATTTTAAGTTATAAAACTTTACACCATGCTGCTGCTCAGATTACATTTATTAAACAATAGTTACCACGCAATTTTTTGAAATAGAAATATTATCTTATTATTGATGTACTGATATGAAGGATTTGAATAAAAACAGAACTTGATGATTCACCACCTATTTAGAACATAAGATATGTGTAATTCTAAAATTGTTAAATATTTTTTTAATACAAATTGTGTGTTTATATCCCATTCATAAATATAATTATATGTAAAATATTTATGTAAATTGTGTACAATTATATTAAACAAATAAAATTTATGTAATATATTATATTTTTAAATGAAAATTTAAAATGATAATTGTTAGCAGCTTTTAAACAATAAGAGGAAAATAAAGTAATAATAAAAATACTATTATTTAATTAGGTAGCTAATAGTCCTAGAAATTATTGCACATTTAGACTACGGTTTTATCTGTATGTTAAACATTTATTGTTTTAATTAGCTCAATTTATTATTGACAATAATTCGCTCACTTAGTATATAATGGTTATTATTATTTTTGTTCAAAAGTTGATGATTACAGTGTTTGTTAAGGCTTTAATTATATTTACAATTTCGTATTTATAATTTAAAATGAATATTAATTCTTACTATTATATAATGGACAAATTATAATCATTATTATGTATATATTATAATTATTATATTGAATATCACTTTTTTTTTATGATGTGTCTTTGTTTGCATTCTTGTACCCTTCTCATTACTCATTAGGTTTAGTCGCATATTCATAATTTTTTCTTGACGATAATATAGTGAAGGGACTAGTTTGACAATTATTATAATTGATATAGAGTGTGTTTTTGTGAATAATGTTCACAAATAACCTACACAAAAAAAAATATGGATAGAAAAAACCAGTACCGTTTTAGTTTTATTATTTTTGTTGATTGTATTATTTTGATAATCTATACCTACTTGTGTATTTATTGAACTGAACATTAAAAAGATTACAGACTATTATAAGTTTTGGCTGTGTGACTTGCACATATTTATTATTATTTTCACAATTGTAGTTAGGGGAAAATGAAAATGACCTAGTAAATGAGTAATACTCTCATTATCTGTCTTGGCCTACATTACTCATATTATAGAACATATAAATTGTCACATTTAGATTGAAATCCTAGTTTAGGTACAATAATACAATAATACAATGAGAATAATTTGTCAAGGGTAGTCATTTTAAGCAAGTTATTGAACAAAATCAAAAACTAGTGGGTGTAATTTTTTGTATGACAATTATTTAGAAGAGAGATGTATTTATACTCTTAAAGAAATTAAGATACACAGATACTATGTAGTGTCAATCCATCTCTATAATATTATTCTATAAATAACCCCACAAAGGTGAATTTTTGTATGAAGCAACATATTTGCATGTTAATCAGATAGTAAGTACCTAATAATAATATATAATTATTAATTGGCCAAAAAACTGTGTTGTACCTTTGTGTAAAATTACTAATTTTATTATAAAGAAAAAAATATATCAGCATTTAAATAAAATGTATGTATATACTTGTACTTATACAATGTTTAATAAGTATCAAAATGACCAGAAAAGCTGCCGTTAACATCAATGTATAGAAATGTATAGCTTTGTATGAATGAAATTAAAAGGTTCGCTACGATTTCTATAAAAATAAATTCAGGACTTTAATTAGAAAAAAAAAAATAAAAACGGACATACTTCGCACGATGAGTGTGCTGAAGCTGGGAAGGTAGGATATAGAGGGGAATTCAATTTATATCTGTACGCAACGATAAACCATTTTTAACGATTCGGTGCGAAGTTTTTTTTTACACGTCTATATGTACACTTTCCTGTTTTTTATACGTTTTCCAAATTATTATTAAAACTGCCTAAAGAATCAAAAAAATAACCTATTAACTATCACTCCAGTCAGGTTTCCTTTCAAAAAAAGTGCTACACTTGAAAATCGGAAAATCAAAATTGTTGATTTAAAAGTTATTCACAGAAAAATAAACATCGTTAAACCGATTAAAGTACCGGCCAATAATATTTTCACAAAAGCTTTAACAAATTAAAATTACAGAATATTATGTTATATTAAAGTTAACCAGATAAGTAGGTAGTAGTATAGCCTATAGGTCAAACCAGTGGCGTGCCGATCGAGGTAATCACCTCTGACTTTTTTAAAGGGTCTTCTTGTATGACAATATTTAAGGAAACGATAAAAACTCGGTGTTAAATTTCCATGTATATTAGCCAATGAGCGGTTCGTGAATTCGTCGGTAGGTAGGTGGGTATTGGAATAAAATTCTTGCCTCTGAAAATATTTGAGTTCGCCACGCCACTGGGTCAAACCATTTTGCTATTATTTGCCAATTCGTACGTGTTCATCGTAAACAAAATTTTTCAAAACAGTTCTCTGAGATTTAAAAAAAATAGGTATAACTATCAGTGGCGTGTCCAGGAATTTTCAATGGAAGGGGATATCACAAATACAAATGGTGTCAAACGAGTAAAATCGTTTTCTTTACCCAACTCGACTATGGGAATTGGTAATTAAAAAACCGGCACCTACACAAAAAGCCAATTTCTAATGAATGCATCAAGCTTTTTCTCGGAAATTGCCGAAATTTATGAGTTTTGATGATATTAGATTCCTCATATTTTGTTGTATTTTCAAGCCAGTGGAGGAGATATAACCCCTAACTTCCCCCCTCTCCTTGGCACGCTACTGATAACTATTATAATAACGATGATTGTACGCAAGTCGGATACTTTCTAGATATTCCAAACACTTGCTTCTAGACACGATTCAGCAGATATCTCCTTTGTTTATAAATTAGTCAATCGTAAAATTGACGCTCTTGATTTACAAATCACTATCCCTTTTAATAATATTCCAGCATACAATAACTAAAACTAAAAAATAGTTTTCTAGTTTTTTCGCTTATGAAATACACACAAATGCCGGCCGGTCCCCTGCCCCGCTATTACGCGATCGCGTTATGAAACACGGCCTTAACGTTCCCTGTATTTAGGCGAAACGAGAGAGAGGGGAAGACGCTAGTAGAACATCTTCCACGGAGCGGCGCCACGCGTTCGAAGTAGAACATGACAATATTGTTGCATAAAGCGTGACGTTTAAAACGATGTCTCGCACAAATACGAGCCGCGCGTACGGGAAAACGGAGCGAGACGTGTCAACGCGAATCACTCGGCCGATCTCGGCGATTTGAAAACGGGAGTCGTAAAACCGCGGTCCCGTCGACGACGCGTCCACCGCGTACCCGCCGATCGGTGTTTTGACATAATCTCGTCCGTCGGTACTTTTTGAGCGTCGTTCGGATTCTCCCGGGATCGGTCGCGGGCACCTGTCGGCCACTGCGATTACGTGAAACGCACGCGGTATTGACGACAAAAAAAAAAAATAAAAAAAAATCGGAACACATACCCGCGCGTACAATGCACGGCGCCCGCGAACACGAAACGCCGCAATGCGCGGCGGGTGCCGGCGGCGGTCCCGGCCGCGACAGAACTCGTGACGTCCGCTCCGGCGTTCCGTCGTCTGCCCGTCCGCCCGTTCAAATTTCGTTACGGAACCGACGCGCGCCGGGATTCGACCGAACCGTTTTCAGACCCCGAACCGGGAACGGCGCCGCCGGTTTATAGTCCGGAATCGCGCGGTTTTCAGTCGTTCGGTTTTTTGTATGGTGTGTTTGCATTTTTTTTTCTTTTCCTACCGGCGAGACGCCGCGCATCGCATTAATGCGTGCACGGTAACAAGTGGGTCACCGTCGGTTTCGTCGTACAGGCACAATGGGTCGGTCAACGGAGCGCGTGGTCCGTTTGATCGCGAATCACAAAATGTACAAACGGGTTTCGTGTACCGATCGGATGGCCGCGTCGTGTGTCCGCGCGTTGCGCAACGAAAAAATGTTGCCGTCGCCGTTCGGCCGCTCCGTTTTCGTTTCGGCCGCGACCGACCGGAGTGCGCGCGATATTCACGGCCGTCGAGTCGAGGGGAGGGGGGGGGAAATGGGTAAAAAAAAAAAAAAACGATTATTTCGCGTATTCGACCCGCGGCGAGACATCGTCGTCACAATAACCCGCGACGGGTTTCTGCGCGACGCGTAAAAACGATCGAATCCGATCGTCCGTCCGCGTAATTCAGTTTCGGTCTTGCGCGTTTTCGTCGTGCCTACGTACCCGTGAACAATTGTGCGTCGTACAACATTATGACGGGGGTTTTTCTCCGAAACGTTTCCGCGCCTGCCCTCGAACGGGTTTTCCGCCCGAAACATTGCGCCCGTTTTTTCGGAGCATCTATTTCGTCTGGTTGCCGTTTTCGAGTCGGCTCGTCGGTTTCTCAAATGTCGGGGGTGACTCCGGGACGAACGTATTGACGTGACGTAAATCGAAAAATCGTTCTTTGGCTTTCGGACAAGAAAAAAAAAAAAAAAAATGTTCGATACCCGCATTTTCAATAAACGTTCGATTTCCCCGGTTTTTCCCCGCCGCTAGAAAAACTATAGAGGACACGGGAAATCACCAGTTCGCGGCACCGGCGGTTTCATTAGTTACGATTTCGTATTTTAGATTCCGAGCGTAGCCAAGGAGCTATTTTACTAAGATGTTTATTTTTTTTTACTACTAGTCTGTGAACGCTTTTTTCCCCCATTAAACTTGCTCCGGTGTACAAATGTAGCGTCTTTTCTGAAAGCTCAAGTTCTCTAGATGGTACTTTAGAGAGGACAATTTTTAAATAAAAATACCTAATTGGGAACAAATGTAGGGAAACGTACGATTTCACGATTTCGTTATTTTATAAAAACACGGACGACGTTTTTCGCCTAAAAAAATGATTTGTTCGAAAAATCACAAGACGCCTTTTTTATTTACTTTCTTACGGTATCATTGCCAAAACTTTTGAGCTTTTTTTAAGGTTTTAAGGAATAATAATTGTTGGGAGTTTTTTTGCTGTAGCTCGGTTATAAAATACACGTAGAGACTTGAAACTTGGTAATAATACTTGTATTGGACTTACCTAGACGTGGTTAAATTTCCAAAAATTTTCGGACGACTTTTTTTTTTTTAATTAGCGTTTTGAAATTTCGAAAAAAATTACTGTAAGTACTAAATTTGTTCGGTAAGTACCTACTCTGTGAGCAAAGTTGTTAGACCAAACAGAAATGTTTGAAAATTTAACAGGAGGTTCGTTATGAGCGTACCCAGTGGCCAACAAGAAAAAGTTAGTTAAATTTACTTAGTAATTATTATTATTTTTTTTTTTATATCAAATTTTCAGGAAAATCGTAAATATATATTACGGACTTTTAAACCATGTATGACTGAACTCCGCTCAATCGTTTTTCAATAGCAATGGTCGCACATAGATATTCATTAAATTCCCTTCTATATCGTACCTTTTCAGCTTTTCACCTTCAACAGTGGCCCCCATCCATCGTGCGAAGTATGCCCGTCTTTTTTTTTTTTGTATGGCTCCACAAGTTCGAGGCCTTGGCCCGTCTGCGGCTTGCCCTAAAGCCGACGGCTCTGTTTGCAAGTGTGTATAACATTACATATTTTTTTGAATATTATGATAAATCAATCTGCATCAATCTGCATAACACAATGTTATGATTTATAACTCGTTTTGTGAATTATTCCAAGATTGCATAACACAGCACGGCGAGAAAAAAAAAAAAGAAAAAAAAGAGAGTTTCGACGAACGATGATGATAATACTATAATATAGGTACTTTGTTAGCTGTAAAAAGTATTCGTTAAAAATAATTCGGGTCGATAAAGATATTTCGTTTTATTTGTCTTCTAGATTGGTACGAAAGACGTAACCGATACGAGTGATACACTATCGTCGGGGCTAGGATTTATGTGCATTGGGATAGTTTTTTTTTTTTTTTTTCGTAACCTCTGACTGCAGCTCTTGTTCGAAATGCCCACGAACGACGCTACGACGAAACAGATGGTTTTATGATTTTGCATATTTTGAATAAAACGCATATTATTGCATATTTACAACAATAAACTCCTAAAATGTATGTTTTACGGTGTACATTGTTGTCCGCGGTGGTTTGGAAAAAGAAGATTATTAGAATATTATCAGTCCAAAAATAAATACCCCCGAGTATTTGTACAGGCAGGCATATGTTTCCAAGCGATGTTTTCAGGATTTTCGTTGTAATCCAACTCCTATTGGGGGAAATCGCAAAATTTAAAAATGCAAAAATTACGTCATGCGATGTTGAACGTAGCTTCAGCGAGTATGAAAACATACTATGGTC